GGGCTCCCAGCCTTGTCAAACCACGAAGACTCCCTGCCCTTAGAGCAGGAGCTGAGGTGGTCAGAGAGCCTGGAGTAGAGCTGCTTCCAGGAGTTTCTTTTCAAGAACCCATGATGTCCTGGAAAAGTTCTGGGTTTGTGGTCAGAGTGCCTGTTCAGTTAGGCTGTGCAGGTCTGATGTTTGGCCTTGAAAGGAGGTTGGTTGACACGGATCTCCGCAGAGAGCTGGCTTTGAGTGAACAGCACAGAGGATAGAAGCCAACCAGGTGTGCCTGGAGCTGTCATGTGTTCTGAGTTTGTGTCGCAGTTGTGATTGCGGATACGCGTTTTTATGTCCTCTTTGTTCTTTTGTCCTCGTTGTCAAAAAGGGAACCAAAACCTTCATAGGCACTTCTTAACAAGAGGGGTGGAAGGTGTGTCACACCTATGAACCTAAAGTTACCAGGTAACATCGGATGTCAGGTGTGTGGGTGGGGGGTGGGGGGGGAGTGCATAGCTGGGCAGCCTGCCGCCTCCAGGGTTTCCTGTGAACACCTAAGGTGATTTGAGTTCCATGCAGGTTGACATCTGGTGATAGACTCCTTGGTCTAGCATTTCCAAGGTGTCCTTTTTTCCTTGACTATTGGACCTAAGAACAAAGATGCATATGGTGGGAAAGCTGGCCTGATGGAAATGATGGGCCCGTTGGGGAGGAAGCAATCCTCCTGTCCCTCTTCCTGCCAGCCTCTGAATTGACTCCACAGAGAGGGATGGACTGATGGCTGCAGAGCGAGCCATGATTGGCATCTGGCCTCTTCTGTTACGTGCAAAGGGCTCTCGCCTTGAACACCAGCACCCAGCACCAGCACCCAGCGTGGAGCCAGGCACTTGAGGGTGATGAATATACCTGGGCTGAGTGGGCAGCAAGTAAGTGGTTCAGTCCTGAGGTCCTCAGTGTGAAGCAGCAGCAGTGGATGCTGAGAATGGGCCTGGCTGTACTGTTTCACTAAGAGCAGTAGAAGCTCTGCATGTGGAATGTGGTCTTGGGTTTTTCTACCCAGTAACAGAATTTTAAGTGTTTTCTGTGGTTTAAAGCAAACTCTTCCAACTCTTACAATGTGAACACTTTAGAACAGAGTAGGAAAGTTGAGAGAATAAAGTTATACCCACATACACACCTTTATCATATCTACTTTATCTCTGTGTATGTGTATATATATTTTTTATTTTTCTCTGAAATGTTTGAAAGTACATTGCAGTCATTATGAAACTTCAATTCTAAATACTGCCGTTTGTATTTAAGCATAACAACAGCTTAGTTTTGTTGTTCATTTTCAGACTGGCCATGGGGCTTGTGGCAAAGGAGGTGTTCAGGGACCAGCAGCGTAGACAATAGGCCTCAGTCAGGAGCAGCTGGGTGCGTATAAACGCTCATGCCCTGCATTAGCACTGCTTTCTTATTTCCAGCCTTAGTTTAGAACTGTAAAAAATGTATGGTGCTGCATTCCAGTTTGTGAAAAGGAATGAGGACAGATCAGCCTGTGCCCACACATTGTCCTGTGCCCATTGTCCCTGTGTCCTGCCCACCCACCTGGAGCCCCATTGGCCTGCACTTGGCATACTCCTCTGTGCTATGGTGTCTGGGACCCTGAACAGTATTGAACATGTTCTTCACTTTTTACAACTTTATATAATTACTATAGCTTTATTCTTCTCATCTGTAAACAGGCTGCTATTAACTCCCTCATAAGGTTTAATAACCTTATTATGAGAAATAAGGTAACCTTATTATGAGAAAGATGTATGTGTAGATACCTCATCCCATGCTGGCAGGGAGTAGAGATTCAGTACATACAGGCACACCTCATTTTTGCATTTTGCTTTATTGCACTTCAAACATAATTGGGTTCTTTTTACAAATAGAAGGTTGGTGGCAACCCTGAGTCTAGCAAGTCTGTCAATGCCATTTTTCCAACAGCATTTGCTCACTTTGTGTCATATTTTGGTAATTCTTGCAATATTTCAAATGTTTTCATTATTATATTTGTTACAGTGATCTGTGATCAGTGACTACAACTTGCTAAAAGCTCAGATGGTGGCTAACATTTTTTAGCTATATTTTTTAATTACATACATTGCTTTTTTGTTTTTAAGATTTTATTTATTTATTTATTTGAGGGAAAGAGAGAGCATGAGCCAGGGTGGGAGAGTCAGAGGAAGACGGAGAAGTAGGATCCTCACTGAGCCGGGAGCCCAATGTGGTGAGCCACCCAGGTGCCCGTGTACATTGCTTTTTAGACACAATGCTTTTGCGTGTTTAATATATTAATATATGGTATAAATGTAAAACATAACTTTGACATGCACTGGGAAATCCAGAAGTTCATTTGACTTGCTTTATTGCGGTATTTGCTTTATTGCAGTAGGCTGAAACCAAACCAGCAATATCTCCAAGGTATGACTAGACTGTTTTACTTCTTACCTCAGAGGTGTTGAGGAAATGTGGATGTTGAAGTGGGCAAACAGTCAAGTTGGCAGAGAAGTAGATCCCTCTCGCCCGCTCAGGTATAGTTTACAGCCCAGCTCTGTCCGCAGAGGATCTTGGGCTCGTTCAAGGGCAGGAGGGTATCTCGGGCCTCAGGGCCCCTCCCCGCGAGGAGCTGTGGCAGCCACTCCTCCAGGTCACTCAGGCTCTGCCGGAGTGCAGCCAGCCCCAGGCCTCCCTCCTTGGGCCTTTACCTCTTCCCTGCCTTCTCCAGCCCAGGACAGCTCTTTGTCTGTATCCTTCACCTCTCGGGAACAGCTTGCCTCCCAAGGTTTTGGGCAGCCAGTATGTGGGAGAGTCAGGACTCTGCCTGAAGAAGATGAGGAACAAGACAAAGCTCAGCTCTGGGGCTGGAAGGAGTCCAGGGTGGCTCAGACACCTTCAGGGCCCTGTGTGGAGCTTTCTGCTAGGCTCTTCTGCCAAAGATCACTTTGTTTCCTTTATCATGCTGCAGACCACCCCTCCTCCAGGACCCCTCTTCCAGGAGCTGTTGGTGGGACTAACAAACATGCATAGATTTGAGGGGGGAATTTGGCAAGGGCTGGGAGAAGCTTTCAGATGAGGAAATCTCCTGAGGGCATGTCATGCTTGTTCTGGCTCCTTGCCCAGACTTTTGAGAGGCTAACTTGCCCATGGCTTCTTGTGCCAGCCATGAGTCGCCAGCCATCACCAGTCTTCCTCAGGAGGCCTCTACTGGCCCCCAGGGAATGGGAATTAGCAGACAGCACCTGCCACCCTTGCCCCACCGTTACCTTCATCCCCTGGCACAGTAGTGCCTGAAATCCCTTCAGCAGGGAGCTACAGTGGCTTCACTGACCTGGGACGCCCCTTCACAGATGCTGGTGGCCAAATGGCCTGGGGCCTGCAGAGCCTTGAAGTGGCGCTAGGTGGCACTCCCACACAGGGGCGTCCCAGTAAGATGGGACCTGATTGAGGGTGGGAATGTAAACTTACCAAAGGGCTTTTGTTTTTCCCAGAGGTCATTTTTAACTATTGTCTGGAATCTAGAAGGCATTTCCTTACTGAAACATACGTGGTGGAAGTCAGGTTAGAAGGCTGATGTCAAGACAGACTTAGGGCTGGTTTATGAGTTTTCTTTTTTTTTTTTTTAATATTTTATTTATTTATTCATGAGAAACAGAGAGAGAGGCAGAGACACAGGCAGAGGGAGAAGCAGGCTCCCTGTAGGGAGCCCCATGTGGGACTCGATCCTAGGACTCCAGGATCACGCCCTGGGGTGAAGACAGATGCTCAACCACTGAGGGATCCTGAATTTATGAGTTTTCTAAACACCAATCTGCCTGAGAGGCTTAGAATGGTTATAAAGGAACTCCGGTAGATGTGGAGGGGCCCTTTTGCTCATTTTACAGGAAGAGCATTGGTGCTTCAAAGGCTGCTCAGCAAATCAGAACCCGGGCTTTTGTTTTTCTCTCTCTAGGGTAACTTGGACTGAGCCTGATCTGGAAACACTGGCAGCTTTGAGGAAGTTAGAATGGTCCTCCAGGATCTCTCTGGTTCTGGAATTTAGTGTTACCTGGATTCTGTGTTAACTTCCTTTGCTTTAACTCATTTTTATCCTTCTCACAGTGTGTTTGCTTGGAGCTCTGGGGTAAGAATGGATCTTAAGTCTCACTAAGGCTCAGAGAATGCAGTGGGCCCAGGCTAGGAGACTTTGAAGTGTAGCCCATGTCAGATATTCACCAGCTATGTCCTGGAACCCGAACCCCAGAGGGCTGGAACTCTACATAGTGCTGCTGCCCTGTTCCTACTCTGCATTGTGGGTGTCCAGTATTTTAGAAGTCCATGAGGAGGGACCTTAATTGTCTTCTGGCCTTCTCCATGCTGCAGCATCCCAGTTTTGTAGCTTGTCACTTGCTGGGGTGGATCCAGATGAGGACAGGTGTGGGGGCCTTTGCACAGCACCATGTCCTGTTCCAGGCTGCCTGTGCTCAGCTGCCTATCTCTTCACAAGCCAAAAGGCCCTTTCTTCCTGTTCCAGATGTTGTTTTAGAAACCAAATTCTCAGTGGTCAGAGGAAGTTAGGAAGTTACTTCCTAACTTCCTACTCTTGATCAGTAGTCTAGAGCAGAAGACCGAGCCTTCTGAGGCAGTCTGACTGTTGGAGGGGGTACTGACCTACCCAGCCAGGTGTTAATCTGGCTCCCGAATTCCACACTCTTTCTTTTGTGTTCTGGTCAGACATGCTGTCTCATCTAGAAAATGTTAAGCAGGTTTCTTCTTTCTCTATCCCTTGTGGAGCAAGAGTGCTTGGTGGGCATGGGGATAAGGTGCTGACCCCTAGGCTGGGCCCTGCCATCTAGCAGGGAAGAAAAACACTGCACGAATCACTGCACAAGTTCTTCGCAGCCCGAGGTTGGAGGGGACCTTACTTACTGGGTCTGGTTCCTTGGTCTACACCAGATATAGTGTGGCAGGAGGAGCGGGGGCGAGGGTGGGGCTGGGGGCAGCCTGTGCCTTCAGGATGGGGTGTGGGAAGGATCCAGGACTTAGAGGCCTTTGTATTTCAAGGGCTAGAAAAGGTGGCTGGAGGTGGCTTTCTGCTCAGTCCCAGGAAGCTGACCCTGGGAGATGTCACCCACATGTGGGGGCCTGGGACTACCCTGGGGTGGAGGTGGGCAGGGAGGACAGCCCCCTGGCCCAGGACGTGTTGCCGAGAAATCCCGTGACCTGTGGGGCAGGTCCCCTGGCCGCAGCCCCTCCTCTTAAAGGGGCCCTGGGTGCGGTGGCCGCCTGGGCCCGAGGGCGGAGCGTGTCTGTCTGCCGGTGTCTGGTGTCCGCCCTCTGCCCCCGCCCCTGGGCAGTCTGAGTGGCCCGAGCGAATCCCCGCCCGTGGAGGCTTCCTCCCCGAGCGGTGCCTCCCTGAGAGTCTCCCTGAGAGTCAGTGCCCGAAGCCCAGAGGGACAGGACCACCTGCCGGTGAGTGAGCCCGCGAGCGCTGGGGCCGGAGCCGCCCCGCTGGGTGCTGCTCGCCCCTCGGAGCTGCGGGGCACTGGGCCGAGAGCCTCCCCCACCGTCTCCATCCCGTTGCGGGCTTCCCCTGCCCCACATGGTGGGTCACGGGCTGTGCCGGATGAGCTCATTTCCGCCGCGTTGAGTAGCATCTCCTGCGGACCCCCCTCCGCCCTCCCGCGGGGAAAGGGGAAATGCTGGGCTGGGGCTCCTGTCCCCTCCTGCGCTGAGAGCTCCGGGCCATTTCCTCAGTGCTGCCTGCGGGGCGGGCGGCACCAGTCGGGGAGGGAAGTGCCTTGTTCCTGGGTGGGGACGGGAGGTGTTCCCAGTTCCTCACCTCAGGGGCCTAGCGGGGGTGACACGCTGCTCTGTGCAGAGCCCCATCTCTGAGAAGGTTCCTTTCCTTTGGGATATTTAAGGAAGCCCTGAGCTGTGGGGAGTACTATCCCATCCTTCACCCGCCCTTCCCTGGCCACCGGCTTGAAAGAAACGTCTCTGGGCCCTTCTCTTTGCTTCCTCTTCTCTTGCTGAGAGCTTCCCCAAGATGGCTCACCCATTTCTCCTGGGGAGAATCCATTTTCCCTGTTCCCTGTATTTGAAGTTTGTCTGCTTCTGGCCCTGGAACACAGGGAGGAAGGGGTGATTGGTCCCCCTGGACACAGGTGCCTGTGTTGTGCTTCAGGTGAGCTGGGGGAGGAAAGTAGCCCTGCCTTCCAGGGTGGAAGCGGGCTCAGAAAGGCAGGCAGGTGCACATAGGACTTGGGGACTCCGAGGCTTTCAGCTGAGGCTTGAGGAGGAGTGATCCTGGCACCCAGGGAGAGTTCTGCTCAGGGAGCAAGAGCAAATTTCTCAGGTTGTCTCTGGCAGGACATGGACCTGGATGCAAGGCCCATGGTGCTCAGGGAATTGGAGGTAATGGGGGGGAGGTGTGGGCAGACAGTCCTGACTCTGTTCCTGCCTTCCTGGCCTTGCCAGAACTCACACCTAAATCCACCAATGTCCGAGAGAACCTGGCAGGAACGTGCCTCCCGCAATTTCCCTGCCCCCACACCTCTCGTAACTGGTAACTGGCCTGGGTCCATCCATCTAACTTCAGTTGGAATGTTCCATTCCACTGAGGGGGTAGTGTTGCCTTCATCACAAGCTATGAGGGGTACTTGGGGATGTTGAACACCGCTCGGGAACAGGACATCCAGACAAAGGTGACCCTTTTACTTGGTCCTTTAGGGCCATTGGGTTTGGGCTCTTCCAGAACTGCTGCCTCTACTCTGTGCCTTCAATCTTGCCTTTGGGAGCAAACCTCTCTCCTCCCAGAGTGTGGGTTTGGAAATGAAGGTGAGGTGTTAGGAATTTGGTCCAGGGGATGAGGCTGCACCAAGGTCTTGGGTGGAAGTGAGGTGTGGTATTTCTGAACAGAGTAGAGTTCTGGACCAAGGTCACTGCTATGATCTGAGCCTCGAGGGGGCGAGCAGGAGGAGTGACCCTTCCCATTTTTCAGATGAGGAAACTGGGAGCCACAGAGCACCTGTGACTTGCAAGGCCTGTACCAGCTCTCAGGGCCAGTAACTGGATTGTCCCCGTCCCCTGCAAAAGCCTCTGAACTCTCCTGTTCATTGTGGCTGGCCCTTAGGCCTTGTGATAACTTTAAATTCCTACTGGTCACAGCTCACAGCTCTTCTCTACAGTGTCCTTGAGACTGGGGACAGAGGGAAGGTGTCTGTACTTCCCCGCCTCAGGGTGACCTCCTTGTAGGTTCCTCATCTGGCCTGAGCCCCTAGACCCACTTTAGGGAGCCTGAGAGCGAAGCGAGAAAGTTCTGGCTTGGGCTCCAAGGGTCATCACAAGTGTGGGGGAGAGTAGGGCACTGAAATGGGGAGGGCAGGAGCACTGTTGGCCTAGGAAGTGGCTCAGCCTTTGGGAAGCAAGAAGGAATGAATGATCCTTAGGGATCCCTTTCCCTCCATCCTGCAGCTTTGAGCTGGACAGAGGGTGCCAGGCCTGTTTGCTGGGGGGACAGGTGAATTCATGTCTGCTCCCTGGGGACCTTTGGGGGCATGCATGGTGATTTGAAAGAAGCCTGACAGTCTGGTTCCGGTCCCATTTTGGAAGTGGAAGTAGAGTGGTGATGGAGACAGGGGACATCTTCCAGCCTTTTGGGGCAGTTTCTAGAGTATAGAAGCTGTGCACCCCTCGAGCACCCTGCACTGCAGGAGAAAGGGTGAGGGCCCACCTTGCTCTCCTGGGCTGTGGCCTGGCTAAGTCCCTGGACTGGAGGCCCTAGGTTGAGTGAAATGGCAGAGGCACACACAGGAATTTGCTTTGAGGACCTGAAGTTTTGGGCCAAGCTAGGGTGCTCCAGCATGTGCCTTTCTGGCTGCATGCTGCATGGTCACTGCCCCATGTGGTAGGATAGTGAGGGAGATGGGCAAGAGGAGACTGGGGCTCCTGTCCTCTCCCATAAGGCCTCACTGCCCCACTGCGAATCTCAAGTATGTACTCAGTCTGAGCGTTCTAGAGTGGGGGAAGAGCCTTGTCCTGGAAGCCAGGTGCTGTACCCAACCCTGCCGGCCCTTAACCCCTCTGGGCCGGTTTCCCCAGGATGCTGACAGAAGGTCCATGTGGGGCGCCATGGCCTGGTGGGCCATGGACTGGCAGGGTGTGTGCTCAGTACATGAGCGATATAGATGAGGTGACCTGTCACGGATGAGGAAGTTAGCAGGAGGTTCAGCATGGGTGGAGGATAGACATGGGGCTGTCCATGGGTCCCTGGGCCTGGCCCCTGGGACAGAGGAGACTTGTGTACATAGCTGCTTCTGGGTGAGGCTGGGTGGATGGGCATCGTCCTGGCTCACCCACAGTGAGCTGTCCTGCCACTCAGGCTAGTGGCCTGGGGAGATGATCTCTGCTGGAGGGGTCTAGGCCTGGGGTAGCCCAGGCCTTGCCACTTCCTTGGTCAGGGCTGGAAATCCATGCTGACCTTCGGACCTTAGTCAGCCTTGGCTCCCACTGCACACTGCACTCCCAGGGACTTGACTCTCCAGGGGCTGGGATCTTCACTTCTGGCTGAGGTGGCTTTGCCTGGGCATCGGACATTTCACCCTGGTGTGACTGGAGCCATGTCTGAGTGGGGCCTTTTGCTCGGTCAGTCATTTGGCTGTGTGAGGGTCAGCGCTGGCCTGGGACTGAGTCCTTGGCTGGGTCCATTCTCTGCCTTGGGAATTTCCCTCAGAGCCCGAATCTTTGCATCTAAAAACGGTGGCAGGCACCTGTCCCCTGTGGCTTGCAGTTGGGATTGGAGGCCAGGCTGGGTGGGGCCTTGACTATCCCTGGGTTTAGACAGCAGCAACTATGGAATGTTTGTTCTCCTTCCCTGTTATCTGTGAGGGCCTTGGTGGAGGCTGGGCGTGTCCTCCCAGATCACCAGGCAGGGCCAAAGTGCTGTCCAAAGCAAAGATGGGGAGGGGGGGCTGCTTTGGGCTTCAGTCCTGGTTGGTTTTCCCTCAGGTCAGGTCATATGTGTGCTCATCTGAGGAGGCCTTGCGGGTGGCGGGGGGATGGCTGGTACCAGGGATGGGCGGCTCTGAGGCCCAGGGGGACAGTAAGGAAAGAGCTGGAGCAGGTAGGTGTCCAGCGTCTAACCCCCTGTGCCTCTCCTGCCTTCCTGCTCTCTCATTCCTCGGATGCTACTTCGTCACCTGAATGGAAAATGGGTCAGGTCCTGGCGAGGGAGGGGCTGCCCAGCCACAGACAGGCTGACGCTGGGTGCCCGCCTGGAGCACCGGGCTCAGATTCCCACTTGTGCTTCTTGGGCTCACAGGCACCTGGTCCCTTCCCTGCCATCAGCTCACTGGAGTGGGCAGGTGGCTGAGCCTGGGGACAGAGTGGGCAGAGGGCAGGGGCTTGTGTCCCGGGCCCCCGCCGCTTCCCGAGCATGTGTGACCAGTGCCTGTCTTTGCAATAGCCCCGACCTTTAACCTGCGCCCCCTGAGCTGGCCCGGACCCAACCAAGCTGGGAAGCCGCCCACCAGCCACCAGGCTGCCAGCCTGAGGAGTGGTGACAGCGCAGGAGCTCCTGGCTGGGGGGAAGGGAGGAAGGAGGAGAAACAAAGGCGAGTGTGCCTGGCGCCGCCCACCATGTGTCAGTCAGAGGCACGGCGAGGACCTGAGCTCGGAGCGGCGAAATGGTGAGATGCCGCCGGCCCCGTCCTAACCCCACTGTGCCCCGCCACGACCTCCGGAAGGTCAGAGTTCACGTCCAGCGGCCCTGCCGTGGAAGTGGCAGCAGGGGGCCAGGGGATCAGCCCCCGAGGCTGGAGGGGCCTGGCCCCGGGGGCCTGAGTCGGAGAGCCCGCTTCAGGTACCTGGGGAGGCGGAGCGGGCTGGTGGCCTAGTGTCTGCTGCACCCAGGCCCCCACCCCGGGTGCCCCCCCCACTTGGGGAAAGCTGCCGCTCTTCTGGGATTGGTCCCTGAGCTTCTGCAGTGATCAGGGCCGGTGGGGGAAGCCCTGGGGACAGTGGGGATTTGTTCAGCTTTGCTTAGCCCCTACCACCTTCCCAGACCTTTTGTAAACATGATGGGGTGGGGCGGGGTGGGAGACAAGGAACACAGGGAGGGAGTCTGGAGAGCTGTGCCATCATTGGACAGCAGGTGCCCGGCCATCAGCTTGGTTCTCCTATTTTTTTCTTTTTTAGTATCAGCTGAGATACCTCTTTGTTCCTTGGTTTATTCAGTAACTGGGGGCAAGAGGACGTGGCTCCTCTGAGAGCACAAAGGTGCAGAATGGAGCCTTAGATTTTTCCAGTTGAAAGCAGTCTTTTTGCAGATGAGGAAACTGAGGCCTAGGAACCGTCCCAGAGTGGGTAGGAATGTGGTCTCCTGGTGGCCGCACTGGGCCTCAGGAGCATTTTCGTTTTCTTTCTTTTTTTTTAAAGATTTTATTTATTTATTCATGAGAGACAGAGAGAGAGAGAGAGGAGGCAGAGACACAGGCAGAGGGAGAAGCAGGCTCCATGCAGGGAGCCTGATGGGGGACTCAATCCCGGGACTCCAGGATCACGCCCTGGGCTGAAGGTGGCGCTAAACCGCTGAGCCACCCGGGCTGCCCCTCAGGAGCATTTTTCTAGTGCCTGGCATTGAGACCAGGGGACTTGGGTGTCAGGAGGCCAAGGTTCTGGTGGAAAGGCCCACCCAGCCTCTAGGATCCCCACAAGGCTGAGCCTCTGCTGGACGCACTAAATTTGGGCTGGTGGGGTATGGGGAAAGACCCACTACCTTTACTGAAAGAAGGGGCATGGCTCAGGTGTGTGTGTAGCCCCAGCAGACCTGGGGGGTGGTCTGAGGATTGGTGGGGAGGCTCCCCCCATCAGGCTCTGGGTCTGTTTTTGGACACCTGATCTGAGGTAAAAAGACCAGGCAGGTGGATGGAACTTCAGCTGGTGCATGCTCGTGGAGGGTTCCCTTTGGGATCTTGTCAGGCCCAACCCTTTAGTTTATCAGATGAGGAGATGAGGCCTGGTGCCATGAAGAGGTTTGCCAAGAACCTGCAGTGCAATGGCTGCGGTAACTCCCCACCGCTCTGTGCTGTTGCTCGACTGGAGCTCCAGATCAGACTGTGTCTCCCTGGTGCCTCTGCGGGCAGAGCTGGTCCCAGGAGTGGCTGTGATGCAGGCTGCACACCCCATCTTCCCGGTGCTGCCTCTGATTCCCGGTCCTCCTCAGCTGGTAGGCAGGTGGGCAAGACTGGGATGGAAGTGGGCCGAACAAAGGCAGCCAAGCCCCCAGCGCAGCACGGTGTTGGGTGGAGGGGCCACAGCCAGTGCTGCTGGACTCCGTGGAGAGGCAGACTTGCGGAGGGTGGGGCGGGGCCTCCCAGCCCCTGACCGCTGACCTGGCCATGCATGGACATCTGCTCTGCAGGTTGCACTTCCCCCAGCTGGCCCTGAGGCGGAGGCTGGGACAGTTGAGCTGTATGTCCAGACCTGCCCTGAAACTGCGCTCCTGGCCCCTGACGGTCCTCTACTACCTCCTGCCCTTCGGTGCCCTCCGACCTCTCAGCCGGGTGGGATGGAGGCCCGTGAGCAGGGTAAGTGCACAGGCTGTTGGCCCGGCCTTCACCCCTCCCAACCCCCCCCCCCCAACCCAGGACACAGAAACAGAGGAGACATTTGTCAGATTGGAGGTGATGGGGGTGCTGAGCCCTCTGGGATGGTCACGCTGACGGGCTGGTTGGTGGCCTTGAGGGCTTGCAGTCTATGCTGCCTGTTTTCCTTGCCTGCATTTGTGTCATTTGGGGGTTCTGCTTCTGGGAGGAACCCATGCTGGGCATCCAGAAAATGGTGTCTGATTTCCCATGTTTAGGCAGAAGAGAGCTTAGGGGTGATTTTGAGAAGAGTGCAAATTAATTCCTGGATACCAGGGGATGATTTTGGAAGGCCGGGGCCTGTTTGGGCCCCTTCGGTGTGGATGGACCTAGAGCCCCAGGCAGGGCTGGGGAAGGGCTGCCTAGCTCCCTGGGGTCTCTGGGCAGGCTGACCTCAAGCCAGGAACCCTGGGCTCCGATGGGTGTCAGCTGGGAGGAGTTTGGGGCGCCACTCAGTACACTGTAGAGGTGTTTAAAGTTGGAATGAAATTACCTTTACACCCCAGGGACTTGATGTCTAGGTCAGGCTGACAGCCGCAGCCACTGGTTAGAGGCAGGTCCTGCTGTGGTGGCGGCACCCGAGGTTTAAGAGGCATCCACTTCCAGGTCTCCTGGCCCTGAGAGTTTGGCTGGGGGTGCCAGCAGACAGCGGCAGGGAGGTGGGGGGAGGCCAGGGGGCCGATTCCCCTCTACCTCCAGGGAGTAGCCCCAGGTGCACACAGCTCGGTGGCCAGGCCTGGAGTGCCGGCTCTGGTGACAGTGGTACTGTGCACGCCGTAGTCCCTGACCTGGTGTGGAGGGGGTTCCTCTGCGTCCTGTTCAGGCCAGAACATGTGCTCTGGGCTGTAGGCTAGCCTGTGTACCCTTTGGGCCACAGCCTCTCTGTACAGGTAGCAGAGCCATTGACACCCTGCCTTCCTAAAGAAGGAAGACCGTGCTGGCATTCCCTCCTTGGGGCCCGGAACTCTTGATACTGGACCGGTGTGTAAAATGAGGCACCTGAGTTTAAGCAACTGTGTCAGTCTTGGCCAGTACTCGCTTTGTGAGTGTTTAGGAAGCTCAGTCTGGTTCCTAGTGGGAAGCAACCACATCACAAAGCCATCGAGGGGTGCCTAGGCCTCCCGGGGCAGAGGTGTTGCGGGTCATGCAGGCTGGTGCACTCACCTGCCTGTTCGCGGCCTGCAGGTGGCCCTGTACAAGTCGGTGCCCACGCGCCTGCTGTCGCGGGCCTGGGGCCGCCTCAACCAGGTGGAGCTGCCGCACTGGCTGCGCCGGCCTGTCTACAGCCTGTATATCTGGACCTTCGGGGTGAACATGAAGGAGGCCGCCGTGGAGGACCTGCACCACTACCGCAACCTCAGCGAGTTCTTCCGGCGCAAGCTGAAGCCGCAGGCCCGGCCTGTGTGTGGCTTGCACAGCGTGGTGAGGCCCCACCCCGCCCTGTGCTCCCTCCTCCAGAAGTGGGATTCTTACCTGGACCTTTGGGAACCTGTCCCGGCAGTCTCCACGGGTGGCCCGTGGGTCCTCCTCCCGGGCTGGGCCCCAAGTCCCCCTGCCTCCCTAGCAGCAAGCCTTTCTCGGCCCTTCCAGATCAGCCCTTCAGATGGGAAGATCTTGAACTTCGGGCAGGTGAAGAACTGTGAGGTCGAGCAGGTGAAGGGGGTCACCTACTCACTGGAGTCCTTCCTGGGTCCGCGCACGTCCACAGATGACCTGCCCTTTGCACCAGGTGGGTTGTGGCCTGGTGCTGGCCTTGGGGCCCTGTTTTGGCATGGCTGGGCTGGTCGTCAGGAAGGAGGATGGGGGCATGGGGAGGGAAGAGAGGGCCAGGAATGGCCGCGTGGAGCTTTGGGGCTCCTGGAAGCCCACGGTGAGGCTGCACAGGCTCAGGCACCCATCTGAGAGCCTGGTGCTCGTGTCTGCCTCCCGCAGCCACCCCCTGCGGCTCCTTCAGGAACCAGCTGGTCACTCGAGAAGGGAATGAGCTCTACCACTGTGTCATCTACCTGGCCCCTGGGGACTACCACTGCTTCCACTCTCCCACCGACTGGACCGTTTCCCACCGGCGCCATTTCCCAGGTCGGCCAGAGGCTCCACGTTCGGGGTGCAGAGGCCAGAAGGCGACTGCTTTAGTCTGGCCTGGTGTGGGCAGCAGGGGGTGGACGTGGGGCTCCGGGGGGGCCTGGTCTTCCTGCGGGTGGGAAATGGCAGTGTCCCTGTCCCCATAGGCTCCCTGATGTCCGTGAACCCTGGCATGGCCCGCTGGATCAAAGAGCTCTTCTGCCACAACGAGCGGGTGGTCCTCACTGGGGACTGGAAACACGGCTTCTTCTCGCTGACGGCCGTGGGGGCCACCAACGTGGGCTCTATACGCATCTACTTTGACCGGGTAAGCAGAGCCAGGCCCAAGAGCTGGGACGTGGGGTTCCCCCACCCCCTTCCCCATGGAGCCAAGTCCGTCGGTACTGTGAGTTCTAGAAGGGCACGTCCCCTGCCGGGCCTCGTTCTGTGGAGCGGCTGCCCCAAGGAGGGGCTGGGCCCTGGGTTCCCACTCTGCCAGTCCCCATGCCAGATGTGCTGTTACTTGCTTGGCTAGAGATGGCTGGAGGGAGAACCCAGGGGGAATGTCAAGCTCAGGGTGGGGCATACGGATGGGAAGGGCAGCTGGTGCCCACCCTTCCCTGGGTGGTGGGGGGCTGCTCTTCTTAGTGGCAACTTGGGACTGCCTCTGGCCAGCTCTGGGTGCTGGAGAAGATTGGGGTTTGATTCCTCTGTGGCCCCCATGTCCTAGTTCACAGCTGGGTCTGGGGACTGTCTTGTTAGACTTGGCTTATGGGCCGAGTCACTGTCCCCAGCTCCCTCTCCAGGCTGGGTTGGGGACAGGCAGCAGAGGTGTGTTCCGAGTCCAGGAGCAGACTCCACACTCTCTGCCCCTGACCTCCTGCAGGACCTGCACACAAACAGCCCACGCTATAGCAAGGGCTCCTACAATGACTTCAGCTTCGTGACCCACGCCAACAAGGAGGGCATCCCCATGCGCAAGGGCGAGCACCTGGGCGAGTTCAACCTGGGCTCCACCATCGTGCTCATCTTTGAGGCCCCCAAGGATTTCAACTTTAAGCTGAAAGCAGGACAGAAGATCCGGTTCGGAGAGGCTCTGGGCTCGCTCTAGGGCCTCCTTCCTGGCAACGGCTACTGAGGGAGCTTTTTCAGACAGAAACGGGAGGGTCTTTTAGGGGGAGCCTCCACGGCTCTCTGGGAAGGGGACAGTCTCAAGCCTGTGGGGTCCAACCAGGCAGGACCTGGGTGACTACTTCCTGCCGTCCCCGAGGTGTAGATGAGGTCAGAGTCCCTGTCGACCCTGGACCTATGTTGTTCCCTCTTCCTACCCTAAAAAGAGAGAATGTGCAGGCCAAGATGATCTCAAATTCCCTTTTGGAGATTTTTTAACCTATTGTATAAATTGAAGACCCTGCATCTCCTGGCTGGATGTCCCGTTGGTCTTGATTTCTGTTGTAAGACAGAAAAGTGGTTATGTGTGTTCTTGCTGCTCTCATCATTGCTTTCCAGCCTCCCCATCTGCCTCGCCTGCACCGACTGGGCTGTGCTGCCCCCAGAGCAGCACCATGTGGCCTTTAACACAACCCTTTCTGTTCCCAATTCACCCACCCTGCTCGTTTGAGAAAAGCTGTCTCTTTGCACTTGTGGCTGAACACATCATCCTTGGCTCCGCCAGCATCTTCTGGGGGTGGGGGGGACACCATGGCATGGCGCTTTACAGGCCCCAGTGAGGGACTCTCCAGAGCTGGTGAGTCCTCTTTCCAGTGGCAGGACCAATTACTGAGCCCCTTGAATGGTGTCCCAAGTGAATGGACAGGCAGGTAGTGGTGGCCTAGGAGGGGCCGGGGGAAGCTCATCCTCCCCTCCTACCCAGACCTACAGAAACATGGTAAGTTGCTGCTATTGATTCAGGGGCTGGTGTTGGAGGCCAAGGAGCCTTGGTGTATTGGGAAGGGGGGGGGCAGGTCAGTGCCTACAACACCTGTCCCCAGGTAATAGGTACACAGTCCTTAGGGAGCCGCTGACGGTGGGGCCAGGATTCAGGTTTCCTGGGAACGCTGTGAATTTCTCCTGCAGGAGAAGCCATTTGAACTCTTTCAACTGTATCAGTAGCACAGTATTTTTGTATGAAAAGTAGACTTCTGAACAGTAATTCATTTAATTGCAACATTTTGAAATAAAAAAATAAAACTCATTGCAGCTTTGTGTTCTGTTCCTGGAGGTGGGCTGAGGCCTCCTGGGGGCAGTGACTAGCACAGAGCCCGCCGCAGGGCCTGGACACGGGTGATGCAGGCGCGGATGGGCTGGCGCTGGGCCTGGAGCTCAGAGGCCAGCTGCTGGATCTGCAGCTCCACCTGGGGACAGGTGGGAGGGGCAGGAGGCTGAGCGGAGACAAAGCGCGGGGAGGGGAGAAAGCTGTTCCAGGGCTGCCTACGGCCTCACCTCCTGTAGTTCTTCCTGCACCTGCTGCTCTGCTTCCTGGTCCTCAGGCCTGGGCTCCTCCTGGCTCAGCTCCAGCCACCTGCGCAGGCTTCTTGCTTGCCGCTGGCAGGACCTGAGGGAGTGAGACACCTGCTGCTGGCCTGGCCAGCCCGTGGCAGCACCTCCAGGGGAGGGTGGCTGTGTTCTTCTGTCCTCCACCGCCCAGCTCAGCAAGCAACTTGGGTAGGCCCAAGTTGCCCAAGGACACCCCCACCCCAAAGCCAGCTGTGGGGAAACAGCTGGGGTTTTCTGGGTCTTACGAGAGGTTCTGCTTCATGGTCTTGTAGTCCTGCAGTTGCTGCTGGATGCTCTCAAGCTCAGCCTCCAGGTCGTTGTGGCCCGTGGTGATAGAACAGGCTTGATCTTGACCTCCCTCTCGGCTAGGCCAAGGCTGAGTGGAGGGAGCCCAGGCACCAGGAGCGGCCCGAGTGCTCGCAGTGCTGACAGGCTTTGGGTGCACACCCATGGTTCCAGAGCTGCGCCCAGTGCCCATGAAGTCCCCAGGAAGCAGCAGGCGGGACTGAGGGACACTGGCTGGGGATGGCGAGGCCTGAAGTGTGAGCCCAGGGGTGAGCACAGAAGCGGGGAGGAAGGCTGGGGGAGGCACCCAGGCTGCCCACTGCAGGGCGTGGGGAGGTGAGGCTGTAGGACTTGACCAGCTCACCCAGTCTAGTCCTGCCCCCTGCCCCTTTCTTCAGACCCGACACAAGGGACGAAGTCCCGAAGGAGCCCAAGGAACACCCCTCACCTGTGCAGTCTAGTCCCACCCCTGCTCCAGGGCCTGGCTCAGCACCTCTCCAAGCAGCGGTTTTACCCTGACCCTGATCTGAACTGTGACCCTGCACATCAGTGAGGAAAGGTGGTCAAAGGCAATCGTCCTGGTCAGACCACACATCTACAACCCTCCAGTACCTTCCAGTGACACTGACCAGCTCCCCTCAGCACCAGCTCTTGGCATGGCCCAACCCTGCCGCTGTCTTCTCTCTGAGCACGTGGGCCTCCCGTACCACCGTGCCATCCCAGCCTGGACTCCTCCACCTGGATGTCACCTGCCCCAGGGAGCCACCGCCCCTTTCCTCCCAGGTGACCTCTTTGGTTCCCAGGAGTTAACCTTCAATGTACATTGCAGACTCTCTTGCTCTCCAGCCCTGACTTGCTCTCTGAAGGCCACACTCAGAACCTTGTTACTTTATCTCAAATTTGACAGGCTCAAGACAGACTCTCCAGGCTTTACCCCAAACAAGCCCTTGAGCCCCCGTCTTCCCTCTTTCAGTAAAAGAACTCATTATTCCTGGAGTTACTCAGGCCAGAAACCCAGGAGCCATCCTGGATTCCTTCCTCACCCTTATCAGACCCATCAGAGCAGGTCCTGCCTATTCGGCCTCCCACGATGGGATCTGCCCGCACCACAGCCACCACCTACTCCTGGCTCCCAGCACCTGCCAAACCAGCCCCCACCATTTCTACTTTTCTTAAAATCCAGATGCTTCCTCAGGGCCCGCAGGACCCTCCACGGTCTGCAGTGTATGGGGCTCCACCTCTAGGATAGAAGCTTCCCAAGTGGGGGCCTGGGTAGCCTTTCCATACCGTGTCCCTAGGACGGGGGCACTTGCATGTGGTGAACGTGACTGTCTTCCCTGCGCCCTCCGGCGCGGGTAGCTCTGGCAGCAATGAGTTCAGCTGTGGCAGCAGCACCGAGTACCTGAGGAAAAGCATCGAAGGCCCAACCAATGACCCCCAGGTGACCGGGAGGACTCACCCTGGCAGGTGGTTCCACTCCACGCGGCATGAAGGATGAAGGGGGCAGCAGCTCTGGGCCTGTCTTCAATGTGGGGGGAAACTTCAGGCCAGGGTGACCCAGCAGGGCCCTGGACTGGGGTGAAGGGCTGCTTGGGACCAGTGCCATCCACGCCTCTGGTGGGAAAGGCCTCATCAGGGAAGGGCCTGCTGGCCAGACCAGGCCTCGGTCGCACTCCTGAGGTGCCTCAGACCTAAGCAGAAGGCAGAAGCTGGTCAGGACAAGGTCCCCCCATGAGGAGCAGGAAGGAAAGGAGGCCACCCACCTTAGCCCACACAACATACCCTTTCCCTCTGAGGCTGCCACACCCCTGGGGCCTCTGGCTCTGCACAGGCTCCAGCAGGAAATGTGGACGTCGAGGCTGCTTTCTTGCCAAGCGGGTAGCATTTCTGGGAAGAAATGCAGGCCTGTTCTCTCAGCTGCCTGGGGCATCCAGTCCGATCTCTCCAATCTTACAGGGAGACCGGCAGCCAGAGAAGGAAAGGCCCTTGCCCCGGTTGGCAGGTGACCTGGGGCACCACCTGGGGTGGGCCTCGGCCATACAGAACGTCCGGTAATCCCAGTGAAGTGAGCCTGATGCCATGGGGGATGCCTCACCCACTCATTTGACCTCGACAGCAAACCAGGCAATGGAAGTGCTCCTCCCACATCAGAGGGGGAGCAGCCTCATCAGGGTCAGGCCCTGTCAGGGTCAGATGGCAAGGAAAGTGGAGCAGGCCAAGGCGCAGGCCAGTTCCCCGCCCTGCTGGGGACCTCCGCCAAGCTCAGGCCATGCTGGTCGCTTGGGGAGCGGACAGCTGCATCAGCCTGGTGTGCGGGGATGGACCAGATCACGAACTGGGGTTTCCTAGAGGGAGCCCGTTTCCTGGCTGTAAGGGGCAAAGCAAGGAGACTGGCGGGTCTGGGGGCACGAGGGTGGGGGCTGCCCTGTAGCCTATTCCTTTTTTTTTTTTTCCTTAAACTATGTGTTCTCCCCGCCATGTTCTGCAGTAACAGGCCAGGGTCCCTTCGTTGGGGCCTGATGGAATGGGAGGGATAGGATCCTGCTGGAGAGAGGGATCCATGCGGCTCAGCCATGACTTCCCTCCTGTATCGGCCAAGTTTTTGCTCCAGGCCAAGAGGAGCAAGAGGCGAGGGATGGGCTACTCACAGCTCTAGAAGTTGGGGGTCCCCGGCAGCCAGGGACAGGCTGCCCAGAGCCCCACAGGGCACATGAGGATCTCCTGACCTCCTGGTCTCCAGGGTGGCATCCCCAGCCCCAGCAGCAACACAGGTGGGAAGGGGACTGTCAAATGTCACTCTCCTGCGGGGCATGGTGGGTGGGGGCCGAGGCTCCTTGCCCTGGCCCAGAACCTTCTGTTTCCAGAGCATGGCACAGCGATGGACTGCACAGTGGAGACTGTGAGCCGCCTGCAACAGGCCTCTGGTCAGGTCATGCCATGTCCCACCTGCTGCCCATGAGGAGGGAGGATGGGGGACCCAGGGTTCACCTGCTCCTGCTGCTGGGCGTGCAGCTGCTGCCTGAAGGCCTTCATGCCGCCTGCAAACCGCAAGAGGCGAGTGGCACCCTCCCGGAGGAGCTGCTGGTGGTAGGCCTGCCCGGCCCGCTCCAGCCTCACCTTCTTCCTCCGCCTTTCCAGCACAAAGCCCAGCCACGCGGCCCACACCTCCGGGGAGAGGAGGAGATGAGGTCTGGTTCTCTCTGCTTAAGGGTCTCCCCGGGGCTGTGCCCACCACCCACCCTACCCTCCACAGGGGCACAGTCCTCTCCCGGGAGAGGCAGGGGTGGTGGCGAGTGGAGCGCCCATTACCTTTGCCTGTAGTGAGAAGGACCAGAACCACAGGGCCCGTGCTGTGCCCTGCTGCTCCCGCCTCCTGTTTGCCAGCTGTGGGCCAGAAAGAGAAGATGATGGGAATCTTGCCTGCAGGGAGGCCACTCTGACCAGAACCAGAGACCCTGTTCAGAAAGGTGCTGTTGCCCTCAGCTTGCAAGGGCCCAACGCTGCCTGGCCCTGAGGCCATGGAAGGTGATCCTTTGGGAAGATCAAAGGCAAAGAGCCTGGCGTTGGGGGAGGGAACAAGGGGAGCCAGTGCCGTGCTCACCAGACACGTGCACAGGAAGGTTTGCTGCTGGGTGTCTTATCAAGTCCTTGGCAACGACTTAAAATGCATTTCATACTAATTTTTGAAATATTACCCTAAAATATATTTTAATGTGACATTGCAGAAACAGGGCCCTGAAGTGACCTGGACTTGTACCATCACAGGTGGAAGGAGCTGGCAGTGCTGGGAAATGACTGGGGTTGGGGGAGCCCTGGGATGAGGGTGGAATTAAAAACATTAAATGTGGGGGCGCCTGGCTGGCTTGGTCAGTGGAGCATGGGGCTCTTGATCTTGGGGTCAGGAGTTTGAGCTCCACGTTGGGCATAGAGATTACTTAATAAAAATAGTTACAAAAAAAAAAAAAGTTAAGTGTGGGTTCAGGAGGCAGTGGGAGGGGGAAGGGGCTTCTTGCTGGCTCCCACCTGTTGTTTCCATTGGTGGAAGCAGGCCCGGCTGCGAGTCTGGGCCAGGAGCTGGGCGCCCTGCCTCTGTAGGAGCTGGGGAGAGGGCAGTGAAAAGCCATCAGGGCCCCGCGTCCCATCACCTAGGAGCAGCTTCGGGGTTAGAGGCTCCAGGCCCAGAGAACTGCCCCCCTCACCCTGCCTCCCGGTCCCCAAGAGGAGTCTTAGATGAAGCCAAGGGCCTCCTGTACTGGGCAGGAGCATCTAGGTGACTCTGGATGTCTCCCAGCTCTGACACCCCATGGTTCAGAATGAGCCACATTTCTCTGCTGGGCCATCTGCTGCCTGAGGGAGACACGACCCAAAGGCCAGCTTCCCTTAGCCTTCCCAGAAAGGCTCCTGCAGCCTTGTGGCCACTGGACCCCAACCACTCAGCACCCATCCTGGTGGTCATGGATTCTGGCAGACAGCCCTCCTCTTCCCCAGGTGGTGGTCGCCCGGCCCGGAGAGCCCCCGCACAGTGGCACCTGGGGAGCCGTTGCCTGCCTCACCCGCTTCCTGACACAGCCGAGATGGTGCGCCTTCCACCGGGCCATGGTCTGCAGCAGCAGCCGCCGGCCGTGATGCCCAGCCGCCCTCCTAAGCTGGACTCTCTGCTGGGCCGCCCTCTGGCCTTGGTCCCGCCAGCGCCGAAACCACGTCCTGAGACAGCCTAGGGCAGATCAGAGTCAGTGTTTGCTCTTTAGGGGGGCTTCTACAAACCCATCTAGAACGGTCAAGGTTCAGAGAGCTGAAAAGGCCATGTGGGGGTAGAGCTGGATGTCAGCCCACGCTCAGTAAAACCTCCACGTGTGGACAGTGGACACTCTGTGACGACAGCTCTGGCCACCTTCAGTGGCTGTGAGCATGCAGGGGGCCGGGATCAGTGCTGTGGACTACTGTGCTCCCGAGGGCCTGCCAGAACCACCAGCCTGTCCCCGGTGGCCGGGTGTCGCAGCGGCCTGAGGAACGGTGGCTCACAGGACACTGATGGGCACGCAGATGAGAAGACCCTCTAAGACCCTCTCTCGGAGGGAGTGGGGGGCACGGCCCTATTTTGCCAAAATCAAGGCTTAGAGAGTCCAGGCACCTCAAGCCTGGCCTGGGAGGAGGCACAGCGTCTGCGGGCTGTGTCTCATACTCTGCGCTCTGCAGGCAGGCAGGGGCTGGCTACAGCATGCATTTTGTTTGTGTCACCAGATTCTCTCGTGAGGGAGGGTAAGCACTTTCTTCTTGTTTTTTGTTTCTTGGTTTTTTTCTTTTACATTTTTCCCTTTTCTTAGGCCCTGAGACACATTTCTTTTAGAGACAACAGAAAAGCATTGCTACCAGTGCACTGATGCCAAGATGGGGTGTCCTCTGGGACCTGATGGAGGGGGCAGAGAAGGAGAGTTCACATGCCTGGAGATGAAGCATTAGTACCAGTGCTAATAACTTCCTGGGTACTGCTTCAAGTGTGTCTATCTCACTGGATTCTTATGACAACCCTAAGAGGCAGGTACTGTTATCCCTATTTTATAGACGGAGAAACTGAGGCACGGAGAGGCCTTGCCGAGGTTGCACAGCCAGCATCTGACCCCGCCTGTACTAGGCACTCTGCTGAATGTGTCTTCCAACACGTCACCCTGAGCTCGTCCTCCCCCAGCACGCAGCCTCACCCCCAGACTGCCAGCGTGCACCTGAGGCTCGAGGCCTCAACTAAGCCCAGACATGGTTCCCCAGGTACTGAGTGTGCACCTGCTGTGCACTGAGAACCCTCTGTACCACCTGTAATGGACACAGCAACCCCAGGGCCCCCCTTCTACAGAAAGCTGCCTTCCCCTCGGTCCTGTGAGAGAAGCAGCTCCAGGCTGCACCCCGGGCCTGTCACCTCTAACACCCACTGTGGCCACCTGACCCCCACCGGCAAGGTCTCTATAGCGCTGGATGCCAAAGCGCCGTCCAGAGGCCACAGGATGGCCTGAAGCCCTCCACTCTTTCTTTTTTTTTTCCTCCACTTCTTTCTTGGGAATGAACTAGAAACACAAGCACTGGTTTCTGAGGTCCGGGGGTAGTGAGAGGACACAGAGACGCACATTAGGGGTGGAGGAGGTGTGGGATGTTTGACCCCAAGGTTCCATCCAGAGCAGAAAGGTGTGTTTATCAACACAAACACTGCAGTCAGAACCAAACCAAAGTTGATCAATTTCTGTCCTGGAACTAAACAACTAAACCAACAACTTGAAGTGTTTTCCCTACCGTCTGACTTAAACCACTTCTGTCTGTTTTCATTTCCGGTTGTATTTTCATTTATTCTAACCCCTGGCTGTGCCCTCGGAGTGCCAGATGCCCCATGGCAGGGCCATGTGCCTCAGTTTCCCTGCATCAAATCTCTGCTCCTGTCTAGACCATCATCCCTGGGCTGTTTGTGCAGCAGGGAGTCAGACTGCCCACCCAAGGCCACTGCTCCCTAGACAGATCAGGGCTCGGCCACACAAGGAGGCAGGACCCTACATGATGGCTGAGCTGAGAAGCAGCAGTCCCTAGAAGGACCTTCCCATTAAAACCACCCCACCCTCGACTCCTTAAGAATCAGTTTTTAGGGCGGCCCCATGGCTCAGCGGTTTAGTGCCGCCTTCAGCCCAGGGCGTGATCCTGGAGACCCGGGATCGAGTCCCATATCAGGCTCCCTGCATGGAGTCTGCTTCTCCCTCTGCCTGTGTCTCTGCCCTTCTCTCTCTCTGTGTTTCTCATTAATAAATAAAATCTTTTTTTAAAAAAATCAGTTTTTAAGTCTTGTTTTTTTGCATTTGAATATAAACTGGTTGACCACTGGCTGGGATGAGAATGCTCATCCCTCCCAAACCCAGAACCTCATCTCGAATTCAGAATTGATGTTGTTTGGCAAGACGGTCAGTGCAATCAGCTGACTCCATCTGGAGTAGGGCGAGCCCTTCATCCAGGAGGACTGGGGTCTAAGAACAGACATGGATGCAGGGGAGACAGCCCTGTGCCTGCAGAGGCCGCGGCTGGAGGGATGTGTCTGCAAGCCAAGAGGCGCCCTGCTGGTGCTGTCAGAGGCTGGAAGAGGCAAAGGCAACCTCCTCCCCTCCGGGCTTCACAGGAATCAAGGCTCTGCTGACATCCTGATTTGAGATGTGGCCTCCAGAAGGCGGAGAGAGCAATTTTGTGTTGGTGGAAGCCTCCAGTCCACGGTACTATTATCTTAGCAACAGGAAACTCACACACGTGAGAAGAATACAGAGACTAAGGGGAAGCAAATGGAACACAAGACAGTTCTGTGTCCTCACGCTCCTCGCCCCAGCGGCCAGGAGCTCCGCTTACCCCTCTCCAGCACCTTCTGGGCCTCCTTGATGGCACAGTCCTCCTGCTGTCGGTAATATATCTGCACTGATGCAGCCTCCTGCCACTGCACGAGGACCTATGGGGCAGATGCAGAGCAGAGAGTGATCACGGCACATCCTGACCTCCCGGGACACCCAGCTCCATGGGCAGCTCCTCGTGGAACAAGCCCAAGCGGTGACACGGCCCTCACACACATTCTGGGACACGCCAGCCCGCCCCACAAACCCCAGGCAATGGACCAAGGCCCCAGTTCCCACAGGAAGCCCAGTATCTCCTTCTATAGGAGTTAAACTTCCTAGCAGGCCATCGAGAAGTCAAGTCACCACATGGGCTTTTGTTCTATTATCATTTGTTAAACAAAATTACAGGCTATGTGCATGCAGACTTTCAAACTGAGACACACACAAAATCACACTCACAGAACCCTTTAAAAAGAAGCTAAGCAGCTGGGGGACACCTGCTTCCCAGGCACAAACTCCATTGCCTGCAAAAAAGGCCTTCTCCCTCTGAGCCCTGAACCCAAGCAAAGAGTCCTGACCCTTCTTCCAGGGCATGGTTTGGAGCCCTCTGACAACAGTCTGGGCCTTGACTTTATGTCACTGTTCCTCACCGTCAGGGGGCTTCAGAGTTGTCAGGACCAGTCCCCCTGGCCCCTGGCCGGGTCTTTCAGCAGGTGAACTGCTGCTGTTCAGAGCTCTGGGCAAAATGCTTTTTTCTAAAACATCCCCAGCTGAGTCTTCTGTAATACTCCTTCCCACAGCCGTGTCCCGGCATGCCCTCTCTCCTCTACTGCATAGGGCAGGCCCCACCGTGTGGTGGCATTTGGGGGCCACTTCCCAACAATCTCCTGTTCCTGGGATTTCTACACTTTTCAGAAAGCCTCTGCAGCTGCAAAACCGGCCATGGTGAGCAGGAGTGAGCATCCTCTTCTGACAGATGAAGAGACCAAGGCATGCTTAGTTTGTCCCAGGGGATATTTCACATGAGTAGAAGTATTGGTTCTAATAATAACCAGCTTGCTCACCATGTTTTTGCTTCAATGGATATTGGTTAAAATTCAGTAAACAAATAAATAAATAAAACCTGGCAGCTCCCACGGGCGTATGTATGTATGGAGGAGGGGGACTGAGCCCGTTTCCTAGGTTCCCTGTTCAGTGCAAATCTTTGGTGCCGCTCCCTCACAGGAGCAAGGTCCCAAACCCTCCCGGGCGACCAGCTGGGCTCTTCGTGCCTCACCTTGGAACACAAGGTTCGCCTGTAGTGAGTGCTTGCTCGGGAGGTTTGCTTTGCTTCATTCACTCGGGCCAGGGTGTTCTCTCTCCAGCGACGGAACACACTCCTGCAGAAACACAGGCCCAGGGCTGGGTGACACCAGTGCAGAGAGACAGTGTGAAGTTTCTGTGGATTCCTCCCAGTTTTTCAGCTCACTCCTCAATCAAGCGCAGATTCCTCATACCTAAGGATATCAGTCTCACCAACAGCCGTGTGTTTACGCTGCCGTGGACACTCGACACATGGTAGGTGAGCATCTGCTCTGTGCCAGGCACCGGGGGAGCGCTGGGGGCACTGTGCTGACAATACCAAATACCACAGCCTGGCACACGTATATGCCGCGGGGGGACATAGAGCAGTGAGCAGGTGGGGGGCGGCACAGGGGAGCCGTGCCATCATGAGGCCCAAAGAGATGGAAGGTGGCAAAAGGGCGCCCCAGCCTCAGCAACGTGCTGGCCACATAGTAAGTTCGGTTATTCCCTCTCCAATTTATTCACTGAGGGGCTGGATGGGCACTTCCCTGAAGGACGGTGAGGTGTTAAGGCCATGAGGCCTGCCACCCACTGGAAGTCTGGCATATACAGTATGCTGAACAAATGGGGGGGCGGGCAGAATGAGGGCAGCCCATGGGGAGGAGGGAGTGCAGAGCCCAGTTTAGCAGGAGCTGGACGATGGGCTCTGATGCAGCTGGAGCTGGAGCTGTGAGCAGGTGAGACCTCCAAGGGTGTGAGAGCTGCCTCTGGGTCAGTGACAGGCCTGGAGAGCCAGGCGGGGAAGCAAAGGGAGACACTGCATCCTGCAGGGGAGGGGAAGGGTCTAGAGGAGCAAGACAAGTGGGAGCTGTCACAGAGGTCCAGGTGACAGCTGCTGCCCCAAGGCCCCACTCCACACACAGCAGCTTTGGAGGAGCCAAAGCCACACTGGGAGCAGGAGGAGCCAGGCTTGCACTCCCTCTAGCCCTGGTCCGGATGCCCCGACCTGCCTGGGTCTGAACCATGTGCCCCATTCCTCAGGCAGGGCCCAGAGACGCTGGGAGACTCACCGCAGCAGCCGCCTCTTGTGTTGGCTCTCCCTGGCTGCCACCTCCTGGAGGATGCTCCGCACCTGGCTCTGGTAAGTCTGTAGGAGACCGAGAGGACTGGAGGCCACCCTGGGGGCCGTGCCACTCCCTACTCCCAGGTATGCCTCCCAGGTGTTGTGATGCCCAGAGCACCCACCACACGGGGGCACAGGCCAAGAGCACCAAGTCCCAAGGCTAGAAGAGCACCTGGACAACGGGGAGAGGATGGTCTCGCTAAGTCCTCACCTAACAAGTCAAGCCAATGGGCTCTTGGACAAGGGGCCACTTTGATGGGGAGGCTGGTAGTCCCCAGATAGCACTCGTGTCTACTTTGCTGAGCCAGGATAAAAGCTCAGCCCCATGGTCATTAAGACCCACCAACCTCACACTTGCTCCGTGTGAGGCTTGTGGAATGACTGGGAGGGGCAGGGAGAACTAGGGAGGGAGACATCATCCCCAGCATCCCCCCACCCTGCGGAAGGAGAGGTGTGGAGGCACGGGGCAGTCCCTACCACCCAGGTCTGCAGTGTCCCGTGCAGCAAGGCCTGCTGGTGGTGCAGGCTGGCGCGCATCAGCTTCCACTGCTCAGCGGCGCGCAGGGCCAGGCACTGTGGACAGAGGGGGGGTCGGGGTGGGAGGGGCTCAGCACGCCTCCCTCTTCTACTGCCCCCCTACCCTCTGCCCTACCAAGGCTTCATCTGTGAATAGGTATCTCTCAGGGAACTTAATGAGGATCAGATGGGGCAAGTGCCTGACTTAGGGTAAGTGTCCAAGCAATGGCGGTGCTTTAAATACTTTTACCCTGAGCAGGATGCCTGCGATGCTTAGACCAAGAATTTTAGGTTCAGTGAGTTGGGACAAGAATCCAAAGAACATGGGATTTTTCAGCCAGTCACATCACTAAGCAGGTTAGTGCTTGCTCTTTTCTACTGCCCAGACTGTCTCCCATGCTCAGAAGCAGGTGGCTGCCGAGGGGCTGAAGAGAAGCCCCCAGGTCTGCTCTGAGTCACACTGACACACAGCTCCACCTGTCCACAACCACATGTGGGTGGCCTCTGTGTCACAGCCTTACCTCCCTCCACCGGCTCCAGGCCCAGTGCAGGAGCCGGGCTGCGTGGAACTCTGCAGCCAGCACTAGGCCCATCTTCCTGTGGGGAGGGTTGGAGTCAGCACAGCAGCCTGGACCTGGCCAAGGCCCCTTTGATGGGCACCCCTCACAGTCCCTAGCCCCTGCCAAGTGGTGCTTAAATTGGTGGGGAGGGAAGAATCAAGACCTTCTCTGGGGAAGCCCGGGTGGCTCAGTCAGTTAAGCCTCTGCCTTCGGCTCAGGTCATGATCTGAGGATCCTGGGATTGAGCCCCTGCATCAGGCTCCCTGCTCAGCAGGGGAGTCTCCTCCCTCTCCCTCTGCTCACCTTCTCTCTCACTCATTTTGTCTCTCAAATAAGTAAATAAAAGCTTAAAAAAAAAAAAAAGACCTTTTCTGAAGAGCTGCCAAAGGACTTGGGATCTTCCCTCAGGAAAGGGAGCATCTAATCAAATTTTTGCAGACAATCTGACAGGGCTCAAGTGTACTGAAGTACATTCATGTGCAGGCCACTTGGGAGGAGATTAAATGTAGCTAGAGGGACGCCTGGGTGGCTCAGTGGCTGAGCATCTGCCTTTGGCTCAGGGCGTGATCCTTGGGCCTGGGGGTGGAGCCTGCTTCTCCCTCTGCTTATGTCTCTGCCTCTCTCTCTATATCTCTCATAAATAAATGAATAAAATCTTAAATAAAATAATAAAAGTGGCCAGAATCTGAGAGTGGGGGAGGCCCCCAAAGACAAAGGGGATGCAGAAAGGCATTCAAACAGGCCAGTGTCTGCAGTGTCCCATGTGGCCCGTCTGCCCTGCCAACCTCTCCAACCTTGTGCTGTGGGAAACATTGCCACAGCGTGCCCGAGCCACAGAGGCTAGTCCTGGGGGTTAAGCTATCCTGAAATGGGCTTCCCTGGCTGTGGTCGCTGTGAATGGGCCCCAGCCAGTGAGCGGGATATATCCAATGGACAGAACCTCAGATCCATGGAGCATGTCTGTCCCTAGTCAAGTTCCTGAGGCTGGCAGCTCCATGATGTCCCCCAGGATCCTCGCACTACAGCCCTGGTTTTATTTTTTATTTTTTATTTTTTTAATTTTTATTTATTTATGATAGTCACACAGAGAGAGAGAGAGAGAGAAAGGCAGAGAGACAGGCAGAGGGAGAAGCAGGCTCCATGCACTGGGAGCCCGACGTGGGATTCGATCCCAGGTCTCCAGGATCGCGCCCTGGGTCAAAGGCAGGGGCCAAACCGCTGCGCCACCCAGGGATCCCACAGCCCTGGTTTTAGACAGACTGTATTACGCAGAATTTCTGGAACTTGAAACCAGAGTCTAGGCTAACATGACCCTCTTGACAGGCACTCAGCACTGAAGTACTACTGCTATGGTCACAGATGGCCTGAGATGGGAAAAGCTTCTGAGGCAGAAGCAGCTCCTCACTCAGTTCTGAGCCCTCGGGCAGTCTCCCTCCAGATGCAGAAAGCCTTCCTGAGCTGTCTGTGGCGGTGGTGGGCACAGGCCACTGCTTGCCGCTGCCATTCCCGGTGACGTGCTGCTGCCAGCTGGTGCCACATGGACCAGGACCTTTGCAGAAGCTGCCGCTCTGAATGAAGGATGGCCTGGGGCAGGATGGCAGGAAAAGAACACAATGGGTCAAGTAGCTAGGGGTACAGAAGCCAGGAAGAATCTACAAGCCACAGATAATGACCAAGGCTAAAGAGATGGGCATTGACAGGTGCCCTGGCCCAGAAGTCATATGTAAACTCCACTGACAAAGTCAACAGGTGCCCCAGACCCTGCCCTGCCTCATGAGTCCTGGTCACAGGCAGGACAACCCCTCAGTGTGGAAGCAGGTCCTGCCCAAGGACAGCCATTTACCATTCTCTCCGCCAAGCGGTTTTCTCGATGCTGAAACATCTTCTGCCACCAAATAGCAAATACTTGCTTCTCCAACGTCTCCCTAAAAAGATAAATAGTAATAATGGGAAACAAAGCACTTAAAATTACTACAAAAAGCAATGAGAAGTTCCAAATAATTGGATTTTTCCTCTTAAGCTACTAAGAGGTAAGTTGAGATGGGGAGAAAGGAAAGAGAAGGGGAAGGAAAGCAGACAGCAGTAACCAAAAAACTCCCCAAACAACCCAGTACTTTCCAAGTTATTTCTGGTGTCAGCCATGGTATGAATAAGACGGACTTTAAGACCCTGGCTCCTCAATTCAGTTCTGCACTTTCTATTTCAGGAAAAGAAAAATATTATTTATTGTGAGTTTCTTTTTAAAAAGCAATACTTAGGGATCCCTGGGTGGCGCAGCGGTTTGGTGCCTGCCTTTGGCCCAGGGCGCGATCCTGGAGACCCGGGATCGAATCCCACGTCGGGCTCCCGGTGCATGGAGCCTGCTTCTCCCTCTGTGTCTCTGCCTCTCTCTCTGTGTGTGTGTGTGTGACTATCATAAATAAATAAAAATTTTAAAAAAAAGTAATACTAATAAATTCTAAATGACTATGGCAGAAAAGGAGAAACAGAAAAACAAAAAACTGATGTAGGCTTCAGCCTAACCGCACCAACAATTACATTAAATATTAATGAATCACACACTCTAATTAAAAAGCAGAGATTGTCAGGGATGCCTAGGTGGTACAGCTGAGTGTCTGACTCGGGGTCATGGGACTGGCATCTGCTCTGGGCTCCACACTTGGTGTGGAGACTGCACGGGAGACTCTCTCCTCTTTATTCACCCTCCCATGCTCCCTCACTCACCCACTTTCTCTCAAGTAAATAAATAAATCTTTTTAGGGATCCCTGGGTGGCTCAGCGGTTTGGCGCCTGCCTTTGGCCCAGGGCATGATCCTGGAGTTCCGGGATCGAGTCCCATGTCAGGCTCCCTGCATGGAGTCTGCTTCTCCCTCTGCCTGTGTCTCTCCCGCTTTTTCTGTCTCTCATGAATAAATAAATACAATCTTTAAAAAATAAATAAATAAATCGTTTTAAAAATAGCAGAGATTGTGACTACATAAAAAATTAAGACACAACTATATGCTGTTTACAGGAGACAAACTTATTAAATATGAAGACAGAGTGGGAAAGGTAAACCACATAAACTGTAAATACAAAAAAAGCTAGTGAGGATATTTTACTATAAATCAAAGCAGACTTAGAGAAAAGAAATATAACAAAAATAAAAAGATTCATTTCAAAATGATAAAAGGGACAATTCATGAGGAAAATGTAACTATCCCAACTGTATATGGACCAAATAACAGCATCTAAACACATGAAGTAAAACTGACAGTATTACCAGGAAAAATAGATAAATCCATAATCATAGTTAGCAAATTTTAACATTTCTCTCTAATAATTGATAGAACAAGTAGACAAATAACTTGTAAGGATACAGAAAATTTGAAGATGACTACCAACTTGTCCTAACAGACATTTATAGAACTTTACACCCAGCAAATATAGTATGAACATTCTTTTAAAGTGCACATAGGAAAAAATAAAGTGCACATGGAAGGTTCGCCAAAACTGACAACATATATTAACTACAAAACATGTCAATACATTTCTAAAACTGAAATTACATAAGGTATGTTTTCTAGTCACAATGGAATTTAAAACAATAATGTATCAAGGAAATTCCTCTTTTTTAAAAAAGATTTTATTTATTTATTCATGAGAGACACAGAGGGGTCGGGGCACAGATACAGGCAGAGGGAGAAGCAGGTCCCATGCAGGGAGCCTCACGTGGGACTTGATCCCGGGTCTCCAGGATCACACCCTGGGCTGAAGGCGACGCTAAACCACTGAGCCACCTGGGCTGCCATGGAAATTCCTATTTGAACACTAAATAACATATTTCTAAATAAACCATAGGTCAAGGAAGAAGTTACAAGGGAAATTAGAATATGTTTTTGATGATAAAAACACAGAATTCAGAATTTGTGGGATAAAGCTAAAGCAGAGGGAAACCTTACAGCTTAAAATTTTCTCAAGAAGAAAGTTTTAAAATTGAAAAGTTACCACCAACAAAAAAGAATAGGTGGGTGCACCTGGTTGGAGGAGCATGCAACTCTTGATCTCAGGGTTGTGAGTTCAAGCCCCACACTGGGTGTAAAGATTGTTTTAAAAAACTAAAAAAAAGGGGGGGGTGATTTGTGCTCCCATCTTAAGAAGGTTAAAAAGGAAAAAGAAGGCAAATTAAATCCAAAGTAAGTAGAAAAAAAAAAGTAGAAACAGATACAAAAGAAAAAGTGGAATCAATATAAGAAAAATATAGAAGAAAATTAGCAAAGCAAAAGTTTTTTAAAAAAGCAAAATCCTGGGATCCCTGGGTGGCGCAGCGGTTTGGCGCCTGCCTTTGGCCCAGGGCACGATCCTGGAGTCTCGGGATCGAATCCCACGTCGGGCTCCCGGTGCATGGAGCCTGCTTCTCCCTCTGCCTGTGTCTCTGCCTCTCTCACTCTCACTGTGACTATCATAAATAAATAAAAATTTAAAAAAAAAAAAAAAAAAGCAAAATCCTGATAATTCATAGCAATACTGATCAAGAAAAAAAGAGAAAAAATACAAATTACCCAAATCAGGAATGCACAAGGTAGTATCATCAGAGATTCTATAGACATTATTAGAGGGCAGCCCCGGTGGCGCAGCGGTTTGGCACCGCCTGCAGCCTGGGGACCTGGGATCGAGTCCCACATAGGGCTCCCTGCGTGGAGCCTGCTTCTCCCTTTGTCTGTGTCTCTGCCCCCCTCTCTCTGTGTCTATGAATAAATAAATAAAATCTTTAAAAAAGACATTATTAGAATAATAAGGCACTTTTTTAACAGTTTTATGCCAATATATTTGATACCTTGAAGAGAATGAAAAATTCCTTGAGAAACAGCGTACCAAAACTGACATGGAAAGAAACTCTTGGTAGCTCTATATCTATTTTCAAAATTATTTCTGTAATCAAAAACCTTTCCATAAAAGAAACTCTAGGTCAGGATAATTTCATTAGCAAATTCCATAAAAATTTTAAAGAAATAACAAAGACACACATTACAAGAAAACTATAGACCAATATCCCTCATGAAAGTACATGTAAAATTTTTTAATAAAGCATTAACAGAACAAAATCAACAACACGTGAAAAAGATAATATCGTTCCAATTTTAGTATATGTGCTGCCGAAGCGAGCACTGAAAAAGATAATATCATGGCCAAGTGGGGTTTATCTCAGGAATACAGGGTTGATTGAACATGTGAAATCAGGAAAAGCATATCATCATCTCAATAAATGCAGAAAAAGCATCTGGCAAAATTTAACCACCCTTCATAATAAAAACTCTCAATAAACTATGAATAGAAGGGAACATTCTCAATCTAATAAAGGGTATCTATAAAAATACTCAATGGTAAAATACTGACTGCTTTTGTTTTCCCCTAAGATTGTAAAAAAGACAAGTATGTGTCCTCCCATTACTTCTACTCAATACTGTATTGGAGATGCTAGCTAATGCAGTAAAGACAAAAAAAGCATATAGACTGGAAAGGATAAAGTAAGCTGTCCTTATTTGCATATGGCATGATTATGCAGAAAAGCCTATGTAATTAAAAAAAAAAGACAGACTCAAACCGGAAAGCAAATTTAGAAAGGTCATAGAACACAAAGTTTCAGTTGTATTTCTATATACTAGGAAAACAGTTGGAAAATGAATTTAAAAATAATTCTATTCACAATAGCATCAAACAAATAAGGTATTTAGGAATAAAACCCCAAAATCACTAATCGTAAGAGAAAAATACTGATGAACTGGACTGTAACAAAATTGAACATTTCTGCTCATCAAAAATACTCTTATTTATATATATATACATACATGTATATATGTGTGTATATATATATATATATATAACCAATATATACATCCATACCCTGTGATCATTTCAACATATATATATATAGAACATACATATATAAAAAAACCACTTTGCTCTCAATAGAAAAAGAATACCTGAGAAAATGGAAATGCAAGCTACATTACTGGAAGAAAATATTTTTCTTTTTTTTTTTACGATTTATTTATGTATTTATTTGAGAGAGAGAGACACACAGAGTGTGCAAGCATGGTGGGGAGGGAGAGATTATCTCAAGCCGGCTCCCCGGTGAGCACGGAGTCAGAGACAGGGCTCTGAGATCTCACAATCCTGAGATCATGACTTGAGCGAAACCAAGAGTCAGATGCTTAACTGACTGAGCCAACCAGGCGCCCCTGGAAGAAAATATTTTCAATACAAGAATATAGAAAGAACTTTGAGAAATCAATAATTTAAAAAAAGACTCCCAAAACCAATTTTTTTTTAAAAAGCTAAGGGGAGGGCAGCCCTGGTGGCTCAGCGGTTTAGTGCCGCCTTCAGCCCAGGGTGTGATCCTGGAGATCCAGGATCGAGTCCCACATTGGGCTCCCTGCATGAAGCCTGCTTCTCCCTCTGCCTGTGTCTCTGCCTCTCTCTCTGACTCTCATGAATAAATAAATAAAATATTTTAAAAATAAATAAATAAAAGCTAAGGGGAAAGAACTAAATAGATACTTCGCAAAAGAAGATACACAAATGGTTGATAAGCACATGATAAAGGTTGAATCAGTCAAAATCTGCCTGGAATTCAAAGAAAGAAAATTAGCTCAGACTATTTTACTCAGAAAGAGCAGCCCAACCATTAATCAGATCAGAACAGACACCGATAAGGCCAGCTACAAGGAAACATGGTTTCTCCCAAGGCTAGGCAGCAGTTGTCAAATGCCACTCAAAAGGGCCTCTTTTGAGTGGTTACTGCTTCCTTACCAAGGATACCCCAGACAAACTTTGTTGTTTCCACTTATTCCTAAGGGCACACATAACAGTATTCCCTAGTGAACCACATTTCTCATCCCTCCCAATTTTGCCTCAGGAATAGTGACCAATCCAAAATCAAACTCTGTTTCTCTTTCCTTTCTTCAGAATCCTGTAGTGGAAACTCAAAACTTACAAATTCCTTTCCCTCAGGAGGAGCACCATCCCAGAATTTCTGTGGAATTCCCTCCTTCAAGGCAATCAGTCTGACTTGGTAAAATGACAGGATTTTGATCCTGGCTGGTTAGGCCTTAAAAAGATGCTCAGCATTATTAGTTAGCAGGGAAGTAACACGGTACTCCATATCCACCAGAATGGTTCAATTAAAAAGACTGTCAAAACCACAGGATTGGTTGTATTTCTGTTGATGAGGATGTGGAACAACTAGAATTCTATCTGCTGGTGGGTGTATGATGATGTGACCCCCCTGTAAGATGAAGCATATCCCCACCCTGTGAGCCCGAATCAGCTTCTAGGTATCCGTCCAAGAGAAATGAAAACATAATCCATAGTTCATAGGAGATTTATTCACAATGGCCTCAAACTGGAAACTATTTATATGTTAAAATGGATCAAAACATTTTTTAAATTTATATTTATTTTTTTAAGATTTTATTTATTTATTCATGAAAGACAGACAGAGAGAGAGAGAGAGAGAGAGAGAGAGAGGCAGAGACCCAGGCAGAGGGAGAAGCAGGCTCCATGGAGGAAGCTGGACCCCAGGATCACGCCCTGAGCTGAAGGCAGATGCTCAACCACTGAGTCACCCAGGTGTCCCCATTGGTTTTATATTCATACAATACCACTCAGCAAAGAAGAGACTGAACTACTACCTGACAATATGGCTCAATCTCCAAAACATTACGCCGAACTTTAAAAGAAGCCAGACACAACAGAACTATTGTGTGATCCTATTATTTAAAGTTCAAAAATATGCAAAATTAACCTGGGATGATAGAAATCAGAGCAGTAGTTACCTATAGGGGGTGGCATGGGAACGGACTAGAAGGGGGCATGAGGGAGCTTTCTGGGGTGATGGAAATGTCCTATACCTTGACTGGGCTATTGATTATCCAGGTATACCATTTGTGAAAACTCATCAAACTGTTTACTTAACATCTGTGACTTTCACTATGAATTCTAGCTCAATTAAAACAACAACAACAACAACAACAACAAAAAAAAAACCAAACCAGTCCTGTCTCATTCTCAGTATACTATTTCACTGGTAGGTGAAGTAACTACCATTTTTCGTTAATCTCACTATTAAATTCTGTCCATATTCCTAAAATATTAAACAAATACCCTAAGAATTACAGAAAGATAGAACATACACATTTTGGGGGAACTCTGATTTGCTAAACTTCAAACCCAACCTATTAATATTCATTTACCAGGAGAGTCACAAATCAATTCTAGGGGTTAGCGGGGGGGGGGGGGGGAGGCTGATATTTTGAGCTGGCATTCTGCTTGCACTCCACATGGATCATCTCACTTACCTTTCATGACAACCCTATGAAATAGGACTACTGTCAACTCATCTCCATTCTACATTTGAGGAAACAGGCTTAGGGAGACTGAGTAGCTTGCCCAGGGTTACAGAGCTGGCAGGCAGGTAGAGCAAGGGTCTGAACTCAGGCCTCTCCAGTTTCCAAGCTAGGCTCTCCATTACTCTGCTCCCTTGTGAGCAGGAAAGCAGGAACCTAAAAAACTAAGTTTACTAAAAAGATCCAACTAAACCAAAACCAGGTAAAATACAGATCAGGCCTCGGTAACCCTTCAAGCCTCCTGGCTATTCCCCATCTCCAATTCACCCTTCACCCTTTGTCTCAGGAATGCTTCCCAACAAAATTCCTTTTGGAAACTCCTCTTGGCTGTTTTGAAAGTACCCTCAACCTTTGAAAATCCCTATGGCATGCCAAAATACAAAAGAAGCAACAGACCAATCATGACTTTTTGTCTGTAAAAGAAACAAAGGAGTGCGTGTGTTAAGTAGTAAAGCCACTTTTCAAACAGAATCTTATACCAGGCTTCATACAGGAAGCAGGGAAAGGTGAAGTCATTCTCTCTGCAGAAAGGGCAGAGGTAAGGGCTATCCCCTTGCCAGCCTCCAACTCCCCAAGGCTGCCTCCTACAAACTTCTTGGACTTTGTGTGAAGGACTCCTAAAGTTCTGGCTGAACCTCTCAGACTAGCATTCAGACTCCTTCAAAGTCAAGATCACTGTAACTTCTCCCAGCGTCCCTCCCATATCCCTCCCTCTCGTCTCTCTGTCCTAAATTGACAGGACACTGTTCTCAGGGCAATTTCCAAAACCATCACTTTACTAGTTACACATACCTGCTCAAACATCTATCTGTTACCTTTTTCTGGGGTTAGGCAATCCCCTCAGTCTGGCCCTTGTCATCCTGCACACTCTTCCCATCCATCCTCAGCCCCCAGTTCACAGCATGCCTCCCCCAGGGACTTCCCTCAACACTAGGCTCTGAGCTCTAGAACTCAGGGCTGACAAACTGGGGACACACATCTATTCTCTGGCACTGTTCTTCAACTGTTTCTTGTGTATCATTCTTACTTCCTCACAAAGAAAGTTTCTACAAAGTCATCAAAAAGATCTTCCTTTTGATCTAGCAGAAAGTCCCTGGAGTCAAGGAGATGTGAATTTAAACTCTTGGCTCTACCACTTATTGGTTGTTTCACATGGGGAGTCATCAGTCATTTTGAGCCTGTTCTCTCAGCACTGCTGTGAGAAAGAAATTATTAATGAAGGTGATGTCATCTTGGGCGAATAAGCTTATATATTTGTTTCCTTTCTCCCATCACACCATACCCACCACAGTGGCAGACATAGAGTCAGCAATTAATAATTTCTTTGTTACATTCTGCTAACCTGTGGCAAGGACCCACTATGGGCAAGTTTGCCTCTGTGGGAGCTAAAAAGACATAGCGCTGCTCCTTGCCCGTCTTAATTTAGTTGATGACCGTATCTCAAGACTTCAAAAAGCTAGGTTTAGTAGAACAGGAAGCAAACATTTCAGGGAAATCACACTCAAGAATGCCTGCCTGCCAAGGTCTAACCATGTTCTGATCCAGAAAGCTAATGGGCAGCTTTAATGGAGCTCACACTGGCTCACAATGAGGATGGGGCATAAAACTCAGGCTGTTTTGAAAGCACTTGCAATAAAGATGAGCAAAAGCTTTCCCAGGGGAAATACTGGCTGGCTTTTCCTGCTAGATGAAATCAGTGAGCCCACCTAATTGAAAAACCAGGAAGAACCAGGGCCTAGGGGGCTGGGAGGCTAAAAAAAAACCACCACAAATGGCCACGTGGGCAGCAAAACCAGCCCTAAGAAGCCAGCACAGGCAGGAGCACACCGCATACCTGTGAAAGTGTGCTGCTCTTGCATTGAGAACACTTTCCTGCTGGTGCCATCGCCAGAATCTTCTCCATGTGTTGAAGGCCGCAGGCAGGGCTCTCTGTTGGAAGTGACTGTCTGCTCTGGACCGCAGCCGCTACAGTATAACAACAAATGACCTTTATTTGTACTTTACGTTATTTAAAAAATGACCTTTCAGGGTCACACTCTGACAGACGGTTGCTTTCTATACAAAATTGAGAAAAAGATTAAAATCATTATTTTTACTTTGTCAACATGACAGGTGAAAAATGAAATAGGGAAAAAATGTTTACTTTAATTAAAATAGGTTAAGCATCTCTTCATGTGTGTGCACCCACGAGTACGTACATGTATCTAAACGTTTTGTCCTATGTAGTGAATGTTCATACCCATTGCCTGTTTTACTGACTGCCAGTATTTATTTACTTATTTTTAAAGATTTTATTTACTTATTCATGAGAGACACAGAGAGAGGCAGAGACATAGATAGAGGGAGAAGCAGGCTCCCTATAGGGAGCCCGATGCAGGACTTGATCCCAGGACCCCGGGATCACAACCCAAGCCAAAGGCAGATGCTCAACCACTGAGCCACACAGGCATCCCATGACTGCCAGTATTTAACTCAGTCATATACATGGGCTTTTTGAACCTTAAGAAATGTATCAGTCCTTTGTCACATGTGTTACCAACATTGTTCCCACCTCGCAATACATCTTTTGATTTTATTATGGTTTTTTTTTAAGATTTTATTTATTTATTCATGATGGACACAGAGAGAGAGAGACAAGCAGGCTCCCTGTGGGGAGACCAATGTGGGACTCGATCCCGGAACTCTGGGATCACACTCTGAGCTAAAGGCAGATGCTCAACTGCTGAGGCGATGAGATGTCAACACCCAGGCATTCCTGTGATGTTTATTTGTAATAAAGATTCTGTAAATTTTTATGTAATTATGAAAGGCTACTACTATTTCATTGATTATCAGTAGGAAGACCAACAACTGACATAAAAATATATGTACACCTCCATGATCCAAAACTGTGTGTGTGTGTGTGGGGGGGGGAATAAAAGCATATACATATGTGTGGGGCTTTTATTTTATTTTTTGTTAAAGATTTTATTATTTATTCATGAGACACACACACACAGGCACAGAGACACAGGCAGAGAGAGAAGCAGGCTCCATGCAGGGAGCCCGACATGGGACTCCATCCTGGGTCTCCAGGATCAGGCCCTGGGATGAAGGTAGCACTAAACTGCTGAGCCACCCGGGCTGCCCTGTGTGGGGCTTTTTAAAACAGGACCTCCAATTCTTTGGATTTCCTCCTTCACTAAGAAGTCCCCTTGAATCTGGGCGGGACAGTGATTGTTTTGACTAACAGAATGGTGAAAGTAACCATGTGACTTCTGAGGCTAGGTCTTTATAAAAGCCATACAGGGTGGCCTGGGCGACCTTCAGCCCAGGGCCTGATCGGAGACCCAGGATCGAGTCCCACATGGGGCTCCTTGCATGGGGCCTGCTTCTCCCTCTGCCTGTGTCTCTGCCTCTCTCTGTGTGTCTCTCCCATGAATAAATAAATAAAATCTTAAAAAAAAAAAAAGCCATACAGCTTGTGTCTTATTCACTGTGACACTTTTGGAGTGAGCAACAACATAGGAAGTCTGACTACCCTCAGGCCACCATGCTGTGAGGCAATTCAAGCCTCTTAGAAAAGCCCAATATAGGTTCTCCAGTTAACAGTCCCAGATGAGCCCAGTCTTCCAGTTATTCCAGTCCAGGAACCAGCCATGTGAGTGAAGAAACTTCCTAGAGTATCCTAATGCCTTGCCATTAGAACTAGCTGAGCCCCCTGTAATCATGGAGAAGAGACCTGACATCTTTGCTATGTCTTGTTTCAATTTTTGACTCACAGAACCCATAGGTACAACAACATGGTTGTTCTTTTAAGCCACTGAGTTTAGGGTGATTTTTCACATGGAAACAGAAAACTGAACAGTGAGCGTGTGTGTGTGTGAATATAAGGTACACATTCTCCCACGCACACAGAGGGAAAAAGATACCAAATTTACTCACCAAATGTTATTTTAAGATTATGGGTATTTTCATTTTTTTCTTTTATCTCTTCCTACACTTCTCAAATTATAATGTCTATATATTGCTTTAGGGCATTTACATTTTCAAATGTAAATAAAAGTAGAAGCAACAGTATAATGAATCCCCATGAACTTACCATCCAGTTTCAACAATTAGCAAACATTTTGCCATTCTTTAAGTATTGCTTTTTATTTTTTATTTATGATAGTCACAGAGAGAGAGAGAGAGGGAGAGACACAGGCAGAGGGAGAAGCAGGCTCCATGCACCGGGAGCCCGACATGGGATTCGATCCCGGGTCTCCAGGATCACACCCTGGGCCAAAGGCAGGCGCCAAACTGCTGTGCCACCCAGGGATCCCTAAGTATTGCTTTTTAAAAAGAAACTCACAATAAATAATATTTTTCTTTTCCTGAAATAGAAAGAACTGATGTTCTTTTTAAAGAACTTGATGTTCTCTGATGTCATCTCCTTAGATGACATTCAGATTGTTAGCTAAAGATTTGAAAAAAACAACAGCAACTAAGCAGGACTCTTACTATTTTTCAGATCTTCTATATCATACAGGCCATGCAAAAGCAGTGTGGAGAGATAAGAACACTGACCCTTGACCTTCCACCAATGCTGGGTCCCCATGTCAAGGGGCTCTTTTTCTAGGAGGAAAATAAAAGACTCTCTGCTTCTTTTCTACCTTGAATAAACACAACCTTTCGACCCTGGCACTCAATTTTTTTCTTAAAGGTCTCTATCTTTGGTTGAGCGTACATTAAATGAGCTTAAAAGACCAAGTGGCAACGTCCTTTCAGAAACAGCCACATAATCCAAAGGAATGTCAAAGAATGCAGCAATTCTAAGAATTTTCCAGGTGGAGAAGGCAAACCATGCCCTGGGCTGGCATCATGCAAACACCAAGAACTGAGATGATCCTTAGGGAAAACTCGGAAGCAACCCGTGGCAGTCCATTTGTTCACTTGTTCGTTCATTCATTCATTAAAATATTAGTTGGCATCTACCCTCGGTTAACACTCTGCTAAAGGAGAAGAAAGACACATGTTCTACCCTCAAGTAGCTCACAGTCTGTCAGGGAAACAGGCCAGGAAACACCTAGGCCAAGAACAGGCTGACAAAGCCACACGGGAGACAGGATCTGAGGACGAAGTAACATTTGAGCCTGAGCTGAAAGGGTCAGAGGGACACAGACTGCAAACACAATGAGAAGTGCAGTTAGGGAAGAACCGGCCACTTAACTGGCCAGAGTACAGTTGTGAAGGAACAAAGAGGCTGGTAACAGGAAAGTGTGGAGAAATAACCAGGGACCAGCTCCCAAAGGAGTTTATAGACCCTGCTAGAAAATTCAGATTCTCTCCCAATATTAGGAGGGAGCAGCCAAATTCTTTAGATTCACCTGTTAGACTCTAGCGGCAAATGGAGGGGAGAGTGGAGGGAGCAGTAGGAAATAACTGGCAGGAGTTTGCTTTGTGTCTCCTGTCTCACCAAGGATGGCCAAAACAAGGCATGGGTGGCACACTAACCACTGCAATGCCCATGTGCACACTATGGGTGGAACAAAATTCCCCTAAGCCTAAATGTGGCCTTGAAACCCTTCCTGGTTCACCACTCAAACAGCTGCCACCATCATTAGAGCTGACCTGCCAGATCACACGTATTTGCCATCCTGGTGCTAAAATACAAGACCTGTGGGAGCAGGAAGTCTATCTGCTTTTTATCACAACTGTACAATCAGTGCTTAGCACAGTGTCTGAGGCACAGTGTCTGCTCAATGAGTCTTTCTTTTTTAGATTTTTATTTATTTATTCATGAGAAACACACACACACAGAGAGAGAGAGAGAGAGACAGACAGACAGACAGAGGCAGAGGGAGAAGCAGGCTCCATGCAGGAAGCCCGATGTAGGACTCGATCCCAGGACTCCAGGATCACGCCCTGGGCCAAAGGCAGACGCTCCACCACTGAGCCACCCAGGCGTCCCTTAATGAGTCTTTTTTAATGGAACTGAATCCAGGGCACATGGCTGGCTCAGCCAGAAGAACATGCGACTCTTCAGGGTTGTGAGTTTGAGCCCCATGTCAGGTGTAGAGATTACTTAAATAAATAAAACTTTAAAAAAAATGGAATTGAATCCTTTCTCAATCTGCCTTTACTAATTCACCAGACTGATCCCCATGTCCTCCCACCTGCTGTGGGTACCTGTCTCACTGTTCAATGTGAGAACATGGCACTTATGTTCTGTACTTTTCTCAGTATTTCCTGATGGCTGGCTGGCTAATATAGTACGTGAGTAATGATGTGAATGGAATGGCTAGTAAGAGCTCATCATTCTCAGAAAGCACCTGCGTTTTCACAGCCAATGAAGGAATGGGGCTTATGCAGACTTTCTGATATCACTAAAGGGATCTGGGGAAATATTTTAGAGCTTTTCACAGCAGCCTCTCTTCCTAATTAGACTACCACGACCTCTTAGCATAGGTCTTTTCCGAGAATCTCTCCAGAACAAATGGGTCCAAGAATGTCAGCCTGTGGAGCCACCTGCTATGAGTTACTTACCTGCTTGTACCGCCTCTTCTGAGTATACTGTAACCATGATTTGACACACTTGCGTAGCAATGTCATTCTGAAATCAAACACATAACACATACTGCCTGTTGTACTTTCAGGTTTAGAGTTTTTAAAATGTTGTTTGTTTTTAAGGCCAGAAAATTTGAGTGCAGTTACATCTTCAGCGTTAAAGGCACCTCACTGGTTTTACTCTAGGAAACAGGGAAGTAAGAACCTATTATTCAATGCAAAATCTGTCAGCCCCTATTTGGAGCTATGGCCTGCTCCAAATTTTGACAACTCTCTTATAAACCTAATTAGACCACCAAGCACCATGTCTCTGGAACTTAATTAAGGTAGTATGTATAAAATCTTCTAACTATCCTGAACTTGCTGGTTTTATGACGAAATTCTGAGCCTTATGTGGGACCACCTGGGTCTGTGACAAGCTCCTTTCTAATAGTGATATGAGAGTGAGAACCACATTCAGTTCTGTAAACCAGGATTTAGAATAATGATAGACCCTGATAACTCCAAATTTAATTAAATATTGAGATTCTCACTGACTCGTTAGAAAAAGGGCTCCAAAATGGGACCTATAACTATGTAAATTAAATTGATTATATCATTAGGTGGGAGGAGGGTATATTGAACATTTCTGGCAGCAATAAAGTGAAGAGTGGTTACCTCTGAAGAATAAGCCTAAGTGATCAGCAGGAGGGATCCAGGCAACTTTTATTTTTCACTTTATACCTACTTTCCTATACATTGAGTTTTCCTCATAGACATGTGGTGCTTTTATTTGTAATTCAGGAGACTCTACACTCTTCAAGACCAAGCCATAAATACCCAACCTGCCTGAGACTTCTTTTTGACACTATCGATGCTTGAATTATAAGATGTGAACATCACTAAAGCCTAAAGGATTGAGGCAGGGGACCAGCGGGCACATACTTCAAACTATGGCACATACTTCAAACTATACCAAGAACCAGTACAATCATCTTTATTTGCTCTCTCATCTGATCAGCCAAAAGGAAAACATAAGCTTAGGAACCACTGGTTTATAGCGGGACCTTTTTGAATCTGCCTAGTAATGAGTGGAAGGGTAAGTGCTCTTTCCTAGAGAACAGTGACTAAATCCCTGGAGAGCCTAAGGAGAAGGCCAAGGTCCCTACCTGCAGTGGGCCCAGGCAGCACACAGTGAGGGAAGCTGCTCTCTCTCTTCCCTCTGCTCAATCCGAGACTGCCAGAGGTTCCAGAACCTGTGTAGTAGCTGAAGCAAGACAGAAAAGAAATAAATGTTTAAGGCAGAAGGTAAAATGATCTCTCTTAATCTATTAACAAATCCTTACTATCAAGAGACTATAAGCCTCCTCAAAGGTGGAATTATACAATTTGGAATACTCAACATATAACAGGCTTACAAAATAGTTATGGCTAAGCTATACAGAGCTATTCTAGGCCAATATAAAAAGCAAAAAGATAGATTTTCCAATCTCTGGGAATCAGAATGAAGCTGTTCCTAAACTGGACCTCACAGAAAACAATACCATTTTGAGAGTTAAAATTGATCTTATCACAAATTACTGCTCTGTGATGTAATCTTGCAAAAAAAAAAGTGTTTAGCTTCAATCTAATCATGCCCTTAGATCAAACCTCTTATTTATAAGAGCAACATTTAAAAAAAGTAAAGTCAAATGTCATTAAATGGAAACAGATACATTGAGAATATGGAATATTGTATGAGGCCAAATAGTTGGCCTTCCTTTTCCAAAAATCAGTGTTATTGAAAAAAAAAAAAGTATATAGTAAACTAGAAGTCAGTCAGTCACAAAAGGGCATGTACTGTAAATATGAAGTCCCAAGAGTAGTCAAATTCATAGAGATAGAAAGGAGAAAGGTGGTTGCCAGCTGCTGGAGGTGGGGGAAAGGAGGAGAATGGGAAGTTTAATGTTTAATGGAGATAGAATTTCAGTTTTGCAAGATGAAACAAGTCCTGGAGATGGATGATGGTGAGGATTGCATAATGTGAATGTGCTTCATGTCACTAAACTGTACTCTTAACTATGGTTAAGATGATAAATTTTGTTATATGTATTTTACTACAATTGAAAAAAATGTGTTAAACAAAAGAAGGGTGGAGTGGAACTGTTATTAAGAGCCTTACAAGACATAACCAAATACAGTAAGTAAATAAGGCCTCAAATCCTGGTTTGAAAAGGAACAGCTATAAAGACCTTTTGGGGACAACTGTGAAAATTTGAATATGGGCTGGGTATTGGATAAAATTAGGGAATGATGGTTTATTTTGTTAGGGATGATAATGATATTGTGGTTATGAAGGAAAATGTTATTTTTGGGCAATGCAAGCCAGAATGTTTAGGTGTAATGTGTCACGATGTCTGTAATTTACTTTGAAACGATTCAGCAAAAAAAGTAAATATTAACAACTGGCTAATATTTGGATTTATTTATTTATTTATTTATTTATTTATTTATTTATTTTTAAAGATTTTATTTATTCATTCATAGAGACACATAGAGAGAGGCAGAGACACAGGCAGAGGGAGAAACAGGCATCACGCAGACAACCCGACGTGGGACTCGACCCAGGGTCCCCAGGATCACACCCTGGGCTGCAGGCGGCACTAAACCGCTGCGCCACCGGGGCCGCCCCTAATATTTGGATTTAGATGGTAAGTATACAGATGGTTATTAGACTGTTCTTTATATTTTTCTGTATGTTTGAACATTTTCATACTGAAAAACAAAAAAACACCTATACCCAGAAACATGATCTGTAAGTAGAGATAGAATGTTGCCCTCAGGTAAACCAACCACTGAAGACAACAGATGTACAGTGCAAACACAATCGAAGCCGCCTGGAATGCAAGACTCAAAGTGTATTCCCTAGGTCAGGGTTGGAATCCACAGTCCTTGACCTCTGAGTCAACTATCAAGTTTCTTCACAAACAGATAAAAAAACAAGATTAAACTAGTTAAAACCAAGAGTTACTCTGTCAGCTGGTATGGCTAACTAGAGAAAATGGACAGTAAGGTTTGGGCATCTAAAAGATCTGGACAAATGTCGAGGCACAAGCACAAAAGTTAAAAGAAATGACAAAGGCCATCAGAGGTCCCTTCATACAGATGGCCCTCACCGTGATGTTTCGTTGCTGGTGAGCGAGATTCCTTCTTATTTGCTGGAGATGAGCATGGGTCACATTTTCTTTTAGGGCTCGAAAACAGAAGTGCTGTGAACAGGAGGGAACAACCAGCTAACAAATTAGCAGCGTCTGTACAAGGAAGAGCAGTGCCCAAGTCTAGCAGTAAGAGGCCTGGTCATGAATGTTCACAGCTGCTCCCGTGTCCTGGAGTGTTTCTCTGCTTTCGGATTCAGCTGGGAGCCTGACACAAGCCAGTAGGCACTTAATAAGTAGCTGACGAACTGCTCCCCACTATGCACTGATATTGCCCAGGAACAAACACACCCTTGCCTTTGACCAGGAGAGATCCTCGTGGCCCAGATGGGAACACTATGGACAAAGGTTGTTAAAAACATTAACTTTGCCTCTCAGAAATAGAGACTTCTAACTTATGGTGGTTGGTCTGTTTTCTTTTTTAAGCCATGTTGTGGGGTGGGGGGCAGTCAATGTGCACACTTCTACAATTCCAAATGCAGTTTTGCAAGAGTAGACTAGAAGGAAGAAAAGGAAACCTTGGTGAGTAGGGGAGTTGGGGTAGTGGCAAAGACATGTGGGATTGGCTCCAGCTCCATCAGTACTGCCTCACATGTGACCCAAACAAAGCCTTTTCTTCAATGTCCTGGGCTCCAGTTTTCTGAGACAGAAGTGAAGCAATTAGGGGCTTTCATATTGTTCTATGAAACCCCAAAGGCTCCTCAAGGTGTTTGAGGACCTTCTCATGTGGTAAGAGTAGGGGAAAGCAGTAGTACAACAGGGACTACTCTCAGATCTTGCTTTATCCACAGCATCTCTACTTCGATTGATTTTACAGACTAGGCTCCCAATATTAAAAAGGGAGCCTGCCCCTAGGTCATGAGTTCAAGTTCCATGGTGGGGTAGAGGTTACTTAGAAACAAATAATAAAGGGGCACCTGGCTGGGTCAGTCAGTAGAGCATAGGACTCTTGATCTGGGAGTTGTGACTTCAAGCCCCATGTTGGATGTAGAGATCACTTAAAAGTAAAATCTTCAAAACATAAAAAAGAGGCCCGCCATGTAAAAAAAAAAAAAAATGCAGGACTAGATCACCTCCAAGACTCCCTTATAGCTCCAGACCTCCCTGATCCCACACCATTGTCATTTCTGATCTAAAATGAAAACAGGGACACCTGCAATGGAACAGGGGTTTCATGAATGAAGCTAATCTTATAACCAGATGCACTTGAACAGCATGATGTGTGCCTGGGTACTCCAAAAATGGATGCCTGAGCAAGCCTGGTAAGAACGGCCTTTTGAAGCACCTACTATGTGTAGACAGGCTTTCTATTATAAAGTGTGGGTTCTTCTTATCACATACTATAGAGTTTATAGAGTGACATTTCCCCTTAGTTTCTTGAACATGGTAACCTCACAGCTTGGACCTTGGCCAACTGTGCTGTTAAATATTAAACACTAAAACTTGGGTGGTTCCTGCAAAGAAAAAAAGCCTCATGAGGCTTCCACGCGCTTACCAACAAGCTGCACCTACTGTGATCTTCTGCCACCTTCCACTGGGCCGCTTCTTCGGCACACAGCAGCACATCTGCCAGGGAGTTAAGGCTTCTCATTTCAAAAATGTTCCCACCCTCGCACACTGCGATCCTATTGACCTACCGAAGGGTCTCAGCTGTGGGGGATAACAGGCAGGCCAGGTGAGCAGAAATCCACCTGTCTCATCCTGAAGACTCCTGCGAGTTGCTTATCAAACAGGCTGGCCTTGCCTTTCTCCCCTCTTGTGCCATTTGATGGCCAGTAAAAATAGTGGAGATAAATTGCCACAGATTACAATAAACATTTCCAAATCACCCTATCTAAAGCATTCCTCTCTTTCTGCATCCTCTGTTTTGGCACCACAACCCAGTCAGATGTTTCGGCTAAAAGCCTTGGAGTTATTTTCAAACCTTCTCCTCCCACTCCCTCCATCTATGAGCTGCCAAGTCCATCTGCTCTCCTCTGAAATCTCTCCTGCTCTTCTGTCCCCGCCCCCAGCACCCTGTAGTGCATCTGACTTGCTCTCACACAGACGGGCGGGGTCTGGCATAATTGCTCCCCCTGTGCCAGCTTTGCCCCTGTAATCTAGATCTCTTCTCTAAGTACAAACCTGCTGTATCACTTCTCTTCTTAAATATCTCTAGAGGATTCCCAGTGCCATCAGGAGAAAGTCCAAACTCCTGATCACAGCATGTCGGGCTCAACAAACTGGTCCCCAGCCTGCATCTACCTGTGCTGCCCTACTGCAGTCCATGCACCCACAACTCATGAAAGACCCCCTTCGCTGTCCTTGGATCTTTTCCTCATCTGTGCCTGTGTAAATACCATTTGTTTCACCCAAAACCCTTCTCAGCCTCTCTACTAGGTGACCTTGTCATCTTCTAGGACAAAGTCAGCTCAAGTGCCACCTCCTCAGCTGAATCTGCACAGCAGCATTCACAGGACTTGATACAACCTTTCTGATAGCACTTACCACACCACACTGTAAAGCCCCATTTTCATGTCTGAATACCCCAACAGACAACGAACTGCTATTCGTCTTTGAGTTTCCCCATATTCCAGAACTTAGGCAGGAGCTTAAAACAAAGCAAGAGCTTTCTGAACAAGTGAACATGCAGATGAACATCTAGGGCAGTCTGAATCTACACACCTGGGCACATATTATAGTAGGGGCACACTTGATGGGATGAGCACTGGGTGTTATACTATTTGAATTTTATTTTATTTTATTTATTTTTGTTGAATTGAATTTTAAAAAAATATTTCATTTATTTATTCATGAGAGACACACACAAAGAGAGAGGCAGAGACACAGGCAGAGGGAGAAGCAGGCTCCATGCAAGGAGCCTGACGTGGGACTTGATCCCAGGTCTCCAGGATCACACCCTGGGCTGCAGGCGGTGCTAAACCGCTGCACCTCCGGGGCTGCCCTTGATTTGAATTTAAATTAATTTAAATCAATTAAATTGGGCAGCCCAGGTGGCTCAGCGGTTTAAGCGCTGCCTTCAGCCCAGGGCCAGATCCTGGAGACCCGGGATCGAGTCCCACGTCGGGCTCCCTGTGTGGAGCCTGCTTCTCCCTCTGCCTGTGTCTCTGCCTCTCTCCCTCTCTGTGTGTCTGTTATAAATAAATAAATAAAATCTTTAAAAAAAATCAGTTGAATTTAAATTTTTTAAAAAAGGAAAAAAAAATATAGTAGGGGTAGTGATTAAGAACATGTACACTGGAGTCAAAGGCCTAGTTTTAAAACTCCTGGCTCGGCCAATGACATGCTGTGACTCTGACAATCGTTTAGCCCCCCCCCCCCCCGAATCTCTGTTTCCTCATCTGTAAAATGGGGGACAGTGACATCTACTCCATAGGGTTGCTGTGAGGATTAAAGAGATAATGCATAATGTCTGCCCATGGTAAAAGCCCAATAAATGGAAGCCATGATCATAATGTTAGGGCTGGGGAAAGAAAAAAAAAAAAAAAAAAAGACCACCATGCCTATTTCCACCACCTAGTGGATAGAGAAAAGCAATGAAATGACAACGTAAAATTCAGGACAGTGGCATTACCTCTGAGAGGGAGGAAAGGGAATGCAATCAGGGATGAGCAGACAAGGTGTTAGCAATGTTCTAATTTTAAAGTTTGGTACATAGTTGTTCATTTTATTACTATTCATTAAACTGTAAATGTACATCATACATACTATTTTGTAAGCATACTTCCAGTTAAAATAAGAAATTTTTAAAAAAGAAATCAACAGACATCAGGACCACCTTGTATTGTTCAGTAACTGTTTCCCATCTACCCCCACCCTCTCTGTCTCATACGTTCCTGAGCTCCTGCTGTCCTGGCTGTGGGGGTGGACAGGACTGGGCAGCTGAAAAGGATACAGTGTTTCCAGTGAGTAAAGGGCCGCCGCAGAGTCATCCTCCTGGCTAGCCCCTCCACCCGGGCCTGCTGGGCGGACAATCTCTCCTTCCATTCCCAGGCCCACTGCCAATCACAGAAGTGTGTCTGGAGCACAGTGACCCGCTGGAATCGCTCAGCCATCTCTGTAACAGAGAAAATCACTATGTGCTGCCCCTTGCAAGGCTGAGAGATGAACTGAAAGCATCTTTAGGATAAGCTATATCCTACTATTGACAGACAGCAGGGATTTGAGGCTATTCTTACAAGGAAACCTAAAATAAGAGCTTTTTCAGGTATGGAAGGGTTATTTAGAAGCCCTTAGCTTTAAAAAAAAAAAAAAAAAAAGGAGCCCTTAGCTATATATCCTCTTCTCTCCAAGGAAAGAGAATTTTAGGGAGGATGCTACAAAATCAGTTCTATCAAAGTGTTGAGGCTTTTAGTTAACTACTGAGAAGGAGGATGGCAGCTGCTGCTTTCAAAGACAACTGTTAAAAAAAAAAAAAAAGACAACTGTTTTACTTTTGCTCCTTAATACTGATGTCTCTCGGGTAGGACTTTAGAGACTGAGTCAACATTACAACTTGGTCACCATGCTAGCAAAGGTGTTTTGGCAGAGGCAGATCCTCCTGACTGCCAGGGTCACTTGCACTAATTAGCCAATGACCCAAAGAACTTAAGTCCAAGAAGTGGGAGGAAATTGGTCCTGGAATTTAAATGCTGAAATGAGAGGCACATTAGTCTGCAGCTTATCATGCTAAAGAATATCTGCAGCTTCCAGGCTTGGGCAACCAGACACGGGGTCTCCACCGTTATCCTCAAAGAGACACATTCAAATTCTCCAGAGAGACAGTACAGGCCTGGCAACCCAGGAGGTTTCTGCAGGGAGGCCAAGGTGAAAGCCAGCTGGCATCTGGCACACTGCTTGACTCACTTCTGTGAGAGCCCAAGAAACCAAGGTAACAAAAAGTACCAAGGACTGTGACCTATGTTTTATTAGTTCTGAACACTAACTGGGAAACCAAACCACAAGAATAGTGTTAAAAAAAAATCAACATCATAAATCACATGGATTGCCTAATTGGAAGAAGCAGAAACAATCCAAACATCCATCAAAGAACGGCTAGGTAGATTAAGGTAGGCCATCATACCAAATGCAATCATTAATAATAAAGAACATTAAAAAAATAATAAAAAAGCAAGATCCGAAGTTGTTCGTATCATAATAACCACAGTATTTATAGGATAATTAAACCCTATTGAAAAAAAATATATATGTGGGAGAAAACACCAGAAGGAAATAACTTAAAATGTGAATTGAGGATGATGTATGTTTGTCCTCAATCTCTTTTTTTCCAACATTTGTGGCATAATATGTTTTTATCTTTCCTTAATAAATTAGCATCACTGGCAGAAGAGTGGACATTTTGATGGGATCCTTTGTCTCTAGAGCCTGGGACATTCCTGCTCACCGTTCAGCTGCCTCTTCACTCTGCGGACCTGCACATATTTGAGCCAGGCCTTCAGGGATTTCCACTTTTGCCAGTGCTGATGGTGTTTCACTGCAGAGACCATCTTCTGTCTCTCCCTCTGGACATGCAGGAGCTGTTCCCACCACCGTGACCAAGCCTGAAAACCAGGGAAGAGGCAATAATCAACAAGGAGGCAGGAAAACAGAGGTGAGGTACGGATGAAGGAAAAGAGGAACAGAGAGACACATTGGAAAAGCTCAAAGTAGAAACAAGGAAGTGGCAACCCCCCAAGGATCACGATCTATGGAAATTTGCAGTGAAAGGCTCTTTAGGAAGAGCATTCTACTTCTAGAAAGTAATTTTTCCCTGCCTGGGTTAAGAACAACAAGGAAAAAGAGGACTAATAAAATCAATGAGTACACAAGAAGCAGGGACTATCCTAAGGAGTGATCTACTTAAATCAGATTTGGGACAGGTGAGGGTCTGCCTCTTCCTTTCCTTTCCCTTCCCTTTCCCTTTCCCCTTCCCCTTCCTTTCCCTTCCCTTTCCCCTTTTCCCTTTCCTTCCCTTCCCTTCCCTTCCCTTCCCTTCCCTTCCCTTTCCTTTCCCCCTTTCCCTTTCCTTTCCTTTTCTTTCCTTTCCTTCCTTCCTTTTTTTTTTTTTTTCATGCTCTCAGAACTTTATTAGGTGGAGATTGGGCAAAAGAGAAAAAACCCCTGAAACAGTCGCCCACCTGGTTCAGGACAACTGGAATGCCTTTTTCTTCCAAGTAGGAGGAAGCCTATTGTCTCAGGCACGTTCATTTCTGGGAAGTGTTACCCACAGCAGCTGAGGGTCTACAGAAGGATTCCTTTAAGACTGTCTATAAATGTGCACCCTCAGCTAAGTCTTCATGTGTGCTTAGCGATATTCATCCCTAGTTTGAAGATGAAGGTCTCATACGATGACTTCATACCTTCTTAAACCTGTAACACCTCTTTGCCTTTCCTTCCTCTCAGCTGAATAAGATTCTTCCTATTTCGCCAAGAAAATAAAAGCAATCAAAAGAGAATTTTCTCAAGCTCCTCCCACATCTACCCACCCACCTCTGCCCACAGGCTCTGCCTTCTCTCTGGCTACTCTGAAAAAGGGTCCATGCTCCCTTCAATCAAAAGTCACCCCCACAGGGCAACCCCGGTGGCTCTGTGGTTTAGTGCTGCCTTCAGCCCAGGACGTGATCCTGGAGTCCCGGGATTGAGTCCCATGTCAAGCTCCCTGCATGGAGCCTGCTTCTCCCTCTGCCTGTGTCTGCCTCTCTTTCTGTCTCTCATGAATAAATAAATAAAATCTTAAAAAAAAAAAAAGTCACCCCCACAATGGATACATCCCATCGTCTCTCACCTTCTCAAGTTTATCACTAGCAACTTCCTCCCTTCTGCATCACTAGTTTTCACCTTCTACTAGGTTTTTAAAATCAACATATGAGTGTGCAATTTCTCCCATCCTCAAAAGCAAATCCCTTCAGGGATATGACAAACAAAACCAATTCACGACCTCTGATTGGTTCCTGGACCTGACACTAAAACAGCAGTTATCTATGGTTAGAATATGAACTATACTATACGATATGACAGGATATGCTCATATCAACATTGAAAGTCTTGGATAAGAGGATATTGCAATTATATAGGAGAACATCGTTATTTTTAGGAGATATAAGCTCAAGTACTTAGGGTCAACTTTTATGTCTGCAACTTTAAAGCAATTCAGAAAATTTAAGAAATATATTGATATACTTAGAGAAAGCAAATGAGGCAAGATGATAGCAACGGGTTAAATCAGTGAAGAGAATACAGTATCTCCCTTTTCTATCATTTGGTATTTGTTAAAAATAGCAAGTTGGGGGGAGAAGATTCCTGTCACAAAAATATTTTCTCAAAGGAATAAATCAGATTCTTGAGCAAACCACCACTGGATCACTCTGCCATCCAGCTAATACTCAAGTTTTTTCCTTTCCTTTCCAGACTCCTCAAAAGAGCAGTTGGTTTTCTAATTTCTCTTCCCCCAGGCAAGCTCTCATGAACCTCTTCCCATTAGGCCTATGGGCACTGCTCTTCCCAAGCGCATCAATGATCTCCATATTGCTCAATCCAAAGATCAAATCTCACTCCTCACCTTCCCTGACCTGCCACATGAAACTGATGTGGCCAATCAGAACTGTGGATTCTCCAGGTTACCTGGAATCTCACCATTATTTCTCCCAGGCTCAGTCCCAGGACCCCTGCACTAGCTAGCTACCCTCACTCCCTTTGTGTTTTCACAGTCTCATGACTGTAAATACGAGTTGCATGCCAAGGATTCCCAAATTTACATCTTAGGTCTGGATGAGTTCTCCATACTCCCCCTATATCCAACTGCTTCCTTTGCAATTCCTTGGGGTTCTTCAAAATATCAGGCTGAAGATGTGGAGCTCAGAATGGAACTTTTCCGACAAATCTGCTTCTCCTTCCATCTTCCCCATTTCACTAAATGGCAACTCTACTGTTCCAGATACTGAGGCCAGAAACCTGGAGTCACTGGATTCTTTTCTGAAACTTCATGTCTTAACTATCTATTAGCAAGTCTTGTCAGCATAACCTTCCATGTATACCCAGACTCCAACACCATCTTTTTTCAACCTTGTCTAGAATCTCACTTAAGATATTGTAATAGCTTCTTGACTGTTCTCCCTGCTTTCATCCTTGATCTTCTATGATCTATTCCTAACCCAACAGCTGAAACCAGGAATGCAAGCCCACCCCACCCCCAGCCCCACAATTTAGACATATGGCTTCTAACTGCCTCTGACCAGAGGCATGTAGCCCTTACTTAATGTTTTAAAAACCTGTAAAGGTGCCTTAGGGAAAAACATAAACTTGCCTCTCAAAGTCTGTGGGATGCTGTTCTGCCTGAGATAACAAACATAATGCGCTGTGTTTGCATGAAAAAATAATAATAACTTGCAGTTCAGTGACAGTCACAGGATGTAGAACTTTTGCCTTTGTACCCTTGAGATGACACTGCTGATGCAATCTGCTAAGAATGTTTTACAGCTCTAGGCCCCTAAAGTGGAACGATCAGATACCTGAAGCAGAATGACCACCTCACTACAATCACACAGAAACCACACAGGGAGATGCCAGAAGAGAGATGATGATCAAGAAAGGAAATGTTGGGACACCTGGGTGGCTCAGCGGTTGAAAGTCTGCCTTCGACCCAGGCCGTGATCCTGGAGTCCTGGGATCAAGTACTACTTCTCCCTCTGCTTTTCTGTGTTTGTCTCTCACAAATAAATAAAATCTTAAAAAAAAAAAAAAAGAAAAAAAAAGAAAAGGAAATGTTACAGCTGACCTAACCCTAATCAATCAGCATGATCCAAGACCCTGAGACCCTTACCTTGAATTTTACCCTTTAAAAACCCCTGCTTGTTAAGTCATAAGGGAGTCAGGGATTTTGAGCACTAGCTCCCTACTCTCCTGGGTGGCACCACACCAATAAACACTCTATCTTCTTCAAGGCAAAAGCCCATGTCAGTTTTTATTGGCTTGTTGTGCACCGCATGGATGAACTCTCACGTTGTTTGGTTCCAAAGCCAGAGTGATCCTTTTTTGGTTTGCTTTGGTTACATCACTTAAATCTCTCCTTTTTATAGGACAGTTTTTCCTCTTACATGCCACCATTTTTTTTTTCTGAGAAACTAGGTCATTTATCCTATAAAATATCCCACATTTTAGATTTGATGGATGTCTCCTCAAGGTTATCTTTGATTTGTTTCTCTGATCCTTGTACTTTCTGGGAACTGACAGATTCATGTTAGGCTTGGTTGAAACCATGTTCAAATTTTTAGGAAAGAACACTTCTCAAGTGGTGCTGGGACCTCCCATTACCTCACATCATGAGGCACATCACAGCTGGCTGCCACACTTTTAACAATGTCAAGACTGTCTGTGGCTTCAGATTGTGCCAGCCTGATCCCTCCATTGTATTTCCCCCACTGTCTTAGCACTCTGTGGTTGCTCCTTAGGTCCATTTTCTCATTGGAGTGGCAAAACAGCACTTTTCTCATTCTAGTAATCCTTCCGCAGCTACTAACTAGAATTCTATGAAGAAGTCCACTCTCTCATTAACCCTTGGATTTTGCAAAGATATAATTTATACAGGAAAGGCAGGATAAAGGCATGATTTTTGCCTTCACTAGTTTTCAAATTGAGTTAATGCTCTAACAACCCAAGTACATGACCAGTGAGTTCCTTCCCTTACCCTCATTATACATGCATGAATTTTTATATATTGGATGTGTTTTCAATTCACTGCAGTCATTATTCTTCTTGATGTCCCAATTGTTCTATCGTTAGTCTAGGAGAATCCTTTGGCTCCCAAGTCCTCCTGACACAATCCCTCATTCTCCAGCAGACTATATCCTAGACCTATGATGTGCATATCTTGCTATAGACAGGGAGTCAGCTATTTCGCAAAAAGCCTCTGTTCTTTTTAGCCAGGAAAAAACAGAGCCCACAACTTGGGCACTGAGAATGCTAAATGCCATCTATTCTTGCTGCTCACTGCTTCTAATTTTTCAGTAAATAAAATGAGAAATATATTTTTAAGGTTAAAAATGTCCTAAATCCATATTGATATTTATATTTCCATTCTCAAATTAAAGGGCTTTTCTTTTTTTAAAGATATTTATTTATTTATTTATTTATTTATTTATTTATTTATTTATTTATTTATTATTTGAGCAGGGGAAGAGGGAACGGGAGACGGAGAAGCAGGTTCCCTCCCTGAGCAGGCAGCCCAATGAGGGGCTCAATCCCAGGACCCTAGGATCATGACCTGGGCTGAAGGGAGACCTTAACTGACTGAGCCACCCAGGCATCCCTTTTATTTCATTTTCTATATCTGTAATCTTTTCTTTCACATTGATCATGATTCCTAACGACACTGCCATAGTAACTTGCTTTATCTCTCAGTGTAGCTATAATAGTTTCAACATAAGAATTCTAAACCTGCCACTTACAGTAAGACTACTGAATGCAGATTTTTAATCTTCTAGCAGCTGAGTCCTTAGAATGCATCCCACTGGGGATTAACAGTCAAAATACTGTATTTTAAAGTTACTCTAAGGACAGCCCAGGT